TCTCCAATAACATTATTTAATGAGAGGGCCTTCATCATCTGAGACTTTTGAAGATAATAAAAATAGTTGGGAATGTTCATCTTCTCTGAAAGAGAGATGCTAGAAAGAGTTTTCCAGGATGCTGGCCGCCAAGCTTCCCTGTGACTTCAGAGGGGTTACCCTTGCTACAGCTCATTGTCTGTCATTAATTTGGGTAACTCCTCTTTGTACAGGGCACAACCTGCACACTAGACGTGGTGGCCCAGGTTTGAGAGAATGGAACTCCAGGCAGGTTTGCTACTGTTTCAGAAGATGGAAGAAGCTTGATTTTGCATTTGGCTTTTCTTGTCTGCTTCAGAGTAGGAAGTGCAGAGTTTCTGAATTAAAAGAGGCCCTAGAAAATGCTCCTGTCCTACAGGAGGAAAGAATAATTAGGATGTTCTATATTAATTTGCTGTGCATTGATTTGCAAAGCCTAGATGAAATGTAGCCTTAGGAAACAGAGACCCAGAAATTTTCACTACCTTTGCTACAGACTAGGATAAAAATCTCAAATCTCTGGACCTTCCTTGGTACCTCGATAGCATCATGCTGACCCAAGGAGAGCCCTGCTTTAGCTGTGCTGTAATCATTATTTAGAAGTGTTTATTAACAGGGGCATATTTATTTTTTATGTCTGTATTCTAACATCTTTCGAACCCACCTTAACCTCTCTTTCTCTCTTTTGAACTCTGCTTTGAAGAATGCTTCTTTTAACCAGATAAAATAAATTGTGAGTGCATCTTTCTTAAACTAAAATGACCACTCTTCTGGGATCCCTGGGTGGTTCAGCGGTTTAGCACCAGCCTGCCTTTGGCCCAGGGTGCGATCCTGGAGTCCCGGGATTGAGTCCCGCGTCAGGCTCCCTGCATGGAGCCTGCTTCTCCCTCTGCCTCTGCCTCTGTCTCTGCCTCTCTCTCTCTCTCTCTCTCTCTCTCTCTGTCTATCATGAATAAGTAAATAAACTCTTAAAAAAAATAAAATGACCACTCTTCTGTATATATTTTTTTATAAATATTCACCTATTGCCATCGTACTTTGGTTGCTGTGACAAACCTGATATTTTAATAGCACATATTTCCAAGGCCAGAGGAGGAAATATACAGCGTCTTCTTATTCTGAAATTCAAAGTAACTTTTTCGAATACTTATTTTTTCAGTTCTGTAGAGAAAAAAAACTCTGTTCGTTTTCTAAGGCCTGAAATAAATGACAATAAATACATGAAATCAGTAAGAATTCAAGTCTGTAGTCTGATTAGCAGGCCAGAGCTCTTTGCATTTGCTTTCTCCACAGATATTGTTCCTCGATGGTAGGGGACACACCTGATTCCTCTCTATGTTCCTTGGGCTCTAACACAACACCCAGCACAGGCTTGGCTACTAATAAATTCATGTTGATTGAGTGAATAGAACAACTGCCATGACTCCTTGCCCTTACCCATTCTCCTGTGGCCACACCCCTTCCCTTCTTCGTGTTTTTGCTACAAATGAGTTTTCTCCAGGAACCCTCTTGCCAAGTTCCTCCTCATCTTTAAAGACCCAGCTCGGATGTCACATCCGCCATGAAGCATTTCTCAAGGGCGATGCCATGTTCATGTCTACGTCTCCAGTGGTTGGCACAGAATCAAAGTTACTCAAGTGTGTAGCAAATGAGCCAGTGAAAGAAAGGAAGGGACAGAGCCAGTCTCCTACAGCAGAGAAGAACTTGAGCTTTGTGGTCATAGACCTGCTTCTTGACTTTCAACAGTGTGACCTTGGTCAGGTTACTGCATCACTCTGAGAGGTCATTTCCTTAGCTGTAAAATAAGGACAATGATAACATCTGACTCAAAGCGTTCTTGTTAGAAGGAAATGAGATCCTGTGCATAAAATCCTTCACCTAATCAGTGCTAAGTGATTGTCAGTGTTGATAAAATTGTTCTATGGGTTTCCTTCGATTGCACTGGAGACATCGCAGTCTGGCGGGACTGGCTGACCTCAGTGCAATCGCGTCAGACAGAAGTATTTGGGTCGGGGAGCCATGCAACTATCTTGGCCGCCACCCCCTTTTACTTCCAAACTGGATGGAGTAAAACTGCAAAACATATACTCTCAACTACCTGGAAAACACTAGTTGACTAGAATTTTCCCTGGCACTTGAACTTTAGGAGAAACTGACAAACTATACATGCAAAAAATAAACTAGTGTAAGGATATTTTAATTTTTTTTAAATATAGAAACTCTGGAAGTAACTTCTAGGGGATGACCTTAGAACTACCTTTAGCCTGAACTTCTATCCTTTTACATGGTGGCAAATACATATCTTGGGGACTGAATTTTGCTTATAGACTGGTGGTTTGGCCTAACACGGTCTAAAAAAACATTCGAAATGGATGTCTACATGAAAAAAAAAAAACCTCTTATGGAAATATTCAAATATATGCCACTTTAGAGTGATTAGTCTAATGAATCTCCATGCAACTCTGATCCAGCTTCAGTGATTAGAGTGCTCTGCTACTGTTTCATCCCTCCTCTTCTTTGGTTTGTTTTGCTAGACTTTTAAAAGCAAATACCAGATGTCAAATCATTTTGCTCATAAATATTTCACTGTGTATCTCTAGCAGGTAAAAACATAAGAAGAGTATAACTGCAATCCGTGATCATAAGCAACAAAATTAAAAATAATTTCTTACTATGATCTAAAAACCCAGGCGATATTCAGTTTTCCCTGTTTGTACCCATAAAGTCTTTTTACAGTTATTTTATTTGGATTGGAATCCGAACAGTCCACAAACCACATTTGTTGGCTATGTGCTTCTAAGGCTTTTAATTGGTAACAATTCCCGTCCTTTTGTTCCATGCTATTTACTTCTCCCCCCTTTTTTTTAATTTAGATTTTTTTTTAATTTTTTTTATTTATTTATGATAGTCACAGAGAGAGAGAGAGGCAGAGACACAGGCAGAGGGAGAAGCAGGCTCCATGCAACGGGAGCCCGATGTGGGACTCGATCCCGGGTCTCCAGGATCGCGCCCTGGGCCAAAGGCAGGCGCTAAACCGCTGCGCCACCCAGGGATCCCTAATTTAGATTTTTTTTTTATTTGAGTTGACACACAACAGCACACATAGTTGGTACACGGTGTCACAGGTGTACAATGAAGTGATGCAACATTTCTGTGTGTTGTGCTGTGTTCACCAGAAGCGTGGCTACTGGCTGTCATCACACAACACTATCACAATATCATTGGTTAGCTTCCCATGACTGATTCATTTCATAACTAGAATCCTGTATCTTTCCCTCCCCTTTGCCCATTTTGTTTATCCCCCCCCCTCAATGTCATTTACTTCTTTGGGAGTTTTTGATATTTTGATATATTTTGAAAAATTATATAGTACTCCTATAGTACTCCTTTTGAAATTTGATATATTTTGATAAATATTTCACAAAAAAACATAGATTTATGGAATATCTGGCCACACCGGCTTACACTCTCATAAGCAGTGTAGTAGAGGCTGTGCGCGTGCCTCTGAGTGTCCAGAATCCATGCCAGTCCCCATTCCACCAATCAGCCTAATTCACCTATGCAGCCTACCCAGCCCCGACGGGTGTTGTGCTGGCGATCTCTGACCTACATATACACCTGTTGGGCAATGAGAACTGAATCCTAAATGATAACCTTGAAATTTAGATGCATCCCTAGTCATTAAGTAAATGTTCAGCTTCATGTGCTCAGTGGCTTAGGTAGGAATGTAAGCCGAAAGGTTTAAAAGGTTTTCAGCCAGGAATCAATCCACAAAAGATTTTATTATTTATTTATTTATTTATTTATTTATTTATTTATTTATTATTTTATTTATTTATTCATGAGAGACACAGAAAGAGAGAGGCAGAGGGAGAAGCAGGCTCCACGCGGGGAGCCTGATGTGGGACTCGATCCCGGGTCTCCAGGATCAGGCCCTGGGCTGAAGGCGGCGCTAAACCGCTGAACCACCTGGGCTGCCCTATTGATTTATTTTTTACAAATCCTGAATTGGCCTGAAACTTTATGAATTAGCATCTCTCTTTCCTTGAGCATTTATTCTAGTGAATTTGCTTGATGGCCCACTGTTGTGTGAGCATCTTTCTCGCCTGTATGGAGGTTTGATCCTACAAAGGTTACAGGACAAGGTGTCGCGAGACCCCGAACTTGAGTCTTCATCCTTGATGACAAACGGGCTTCCGTTTTGCTTCTCTGAGACACTCTGCAGATTGGAGGGAATAACTGTCTGGCTCTCAGGGGTGTTGTGAAGTTCAAGTAAGGTAACAGATGAGACGTTCCTTTGTAAACTGTGTAGCTCTACACTAAACAGGGTATTACTATGCACGAGGCTACATCAAATTATGCATAACAGCCTCGTTCACACCTCTGTGCACTCACTCTGTTGTGTCTTTTCCCTGGGACGCCCATAAGAATTAATTGCTAGTCATCTGTGGGCCCCAAACACTATGCCTATTTCCTTATAACATTTGCCACATTATATTAAAGCTGTTTGTCTGTGTCTTTGTCTTCTGCAAGGTTCTGAGCATCAGCTGCAGTTTATTCAGTGCTCAGCACACAGCAGATTCCCGAGAAGTATCTACTGAATTAGGATCGATTTTAATGTTATTATGTGTGTCTGTCTTTAGAAAAACCAAGTCTGTGCTTGTGTGGATGCTTTAGCTAGATTGTCTCGTCTGGTCACCGACCAGTGTTGACTCTTATTAAAATCTTATGATGATTGATGAGGACGATGAAACATTTATAAAAATAGAGTTTTGTATTTTTAATTTTAGTCAGTGATTAGACTTTTTGAGTATGTTAATTAGTCATTTAAGCTCATCAACAATGAAAGAAACTAAATGTGGAAAGCCTATCACTAAAAAGAATTTTTTTTCCTGCTGGAGAAAAAGTAAGCTCTCTATCACTGTTTTTGGCCCCATTATCTGGTTCTCTTCATTAACCGAGGGCTTCTTGTCCTTTTGCAGCTGGTTTGCCATTCACCCAGTCAGCATGAACAACAGCAATCACCTCGTCAATAGTGACAACATGGGCTATGCAGCTTACCTTTTTGAGCAAGAGAAAAACAAAGAATATCTACCTGGAGAGGTGAGAATTTGTGTCATTGAAAGCATCATCTTTTAGAATCTATTTATTTATTTATTTATTTATTTATTTATTTATTTATTTATTTACTTGAGAGAGAGAGAGACAGTGCATGAGTATGAGTGAGGAGAGGTACAGAGGGAGAAGCAGATGTGGGGCTCGCTCCCAGGATGCTGGGATCATGACCTGAGCCAAAGGTAGATGCCTAACCAACTGAATCACCCAGGGACCCTTAGAAGTATCTTCTTAATTCACTGAGTATCATCATTCATGCAATGTTCAGAAGAGCTGATTTGAATCTTCAGGGTAAAGTGTCATCATGTATGTCACATATTAATAGGCTTGGATAAAAAGAATTCTCCATCCTCCCTGATAGGGAAAGAAAAATTGAGAATGACTAACTGTGTCAAGTACTACTTCTATTGATAGCTTCGTAAATTTATAATTAGTTGGATAAGGAGGGACAAGTTCAAGAGTTCTGCAATATGTAATAGCTTTTTTTAATAATAAATTTATTTTTATTGGTGTTCAATTTACCAACATACAGAATAACACCCAGTGCTCATCCCGTCAAGCGCCCCCCTCAGTGCCCATCACCCGGTCACCCCCACCCCCCTCCTTCCTCCCCTTCCACCACCCCTAGTTCGTTTCCCAGAGTTAGGAGTCTTTATGTTCTGTCTCCCTTTCTGATATTTCCCACACATTTCTTCTCCCTTCCCTTATATTCCCTTTCACTATTATTCATATTCCCCAAATGAATGAGAACATGCACTGTTTGTCCTTCTCCGATTGACTTACTTCACTCAGCATAATACCCTCCAGTTCCATCCACGTTGAAGCAAATGGTGGGTATTTGTTGTGTAATATTTGGGTATATATTGGGAATATATGGGTATTTGCTGAGGAATATTCCATTGTATACATAGACCACATCTTCTTTATCCATTCATCTTTCGATGGACACCGAGGCTCCTTCCACAGTTTGGCTATTGTGGACATGGCTGCTAGAAACATCGGGGTGCAGGTGTCCCGGCGTTTCATTGCATCTGAATCTTTGGGGTAAATCCCTATGACCCAGCAATGTAATAGCTTTTGATCAGCTTGGAAATATGATAAACTGTGTTGATGTTTACTTTTGTTGTCAGAGCTATGAAAGTATGAAGCACCTTGCAAATTGTGTTAAGAAACTGAATGAGGACAAGATGATGAGTCTTGTTTAATGGTCCAGATTTCCCTGTTAACGGCAAATTTCCTTTCAAGGCATTTGTTTTACTCTCCTTCACTAAGGCCAAAGTCAGAGACAATCTTAATCCACTAGATCTGTTTTTTTTTTTTTTTTTGACTTTGACTTTGAAACACGGTGAGAGATGGAATTAGAGCCGGAGGGTTGGAACTCAGTCCCCATACTTGAGAAAGCTCCTCGGTTTTGTATAAATTAGCGACTGCAGATAGTTAAGTGATGAGGGAGGACCCTGCTCTGTTTGACCCTAGTGTCCAAGGCCTTAATGCAGAAGAATATAAGAGGATAAGAGCCCCAGGCCCTGGACTAGAAAAATGTCTAAAGGTAAATAATGATGCAAAAGTCAATAGCCCCATGAACATTTGGTCTGATCTCTTAGCTCTTGTTGACAAATACTATTTTTTTTTTCATTTTAGCCAGCATTTTAGGGAAAAGATAGGACGTTCCCATTTAATGATCACTGGGTGCTAAGCACTTGGAGGGAAGTTATCCTTTTAGTATGAAAAGAGACACATGATCTCCAATACCTGCTTCTCCTTCTCCCTAAGAAAACTGAAGACATTGAAGGTAGAATAGTAGATCAACTGGGTTGAGGTTGAAGTCTTGCACCACCCAGAAAGGTTACGTGTTGTTACGTCAGGTGGAAGGGATAAGAGAAAAGCTACATGGAGGCAGACCTGGATAGTGGATGTTATATTTAGGTTCACTTCTGCCACAGGAAAATCTGTATTCACTATATTCTTTTTAAGCCAGTAGGATATTTATTTTTCAAGGAAAATCTCTGAGCTCCAGATACAATCCCACAGAACAGCTTGATGAGTCAGCATTTTATAGTTTGTTGTTGTTGCTGTATGCTGTGTTTCTTGTCAAAATGTTTCTGTTTGTGGCACAGGCTTGAAACTCTCCTACTCAGAATGGTTTTATTGATCATTGGAATATCACAAGTAATAATGTGTATGCGGACTGCAATGTGAATTTTTTTCCAGAAATTTTCTCAGAATGTTAGATCTCCTCCTTTTATTATCTGCAAATGATTTTGAATAGTTCACCAGAATGGAGTGAACGTTTGCACTTTTAATGGAAGTCATTATGGGAAATAGGAAAGAATAAAAGACACTTGGATGTTTCTTTTGGCAGGGACCATATGTGGCAGCCTTTGCTTCATCAAACCTGGGAGACGTGTCCCCCAATATTCTTGGCCCACATTGCGTCAACACTGGAGAGTCTTGTGATAATGCCAATAGCTCTTGTCCCATTGGTGGGGTAGGTAAATGAAATCTTTGTTCTTCCTCTCAGGTGTATTTTATGTTTAAATATTCACCATTAACTTATAATTATGTTTTTCTCATGTGTACACAGGCCTACTGACTGCTAGCTTTTGCTCTTCTCAGAAGCATCCCTTAAATTTCAGTTGGGTAAAATTCTAGTTTCCCATTGGATTGACCACTGAGTTTTTCAAAGGGTGAGAAAATTAGTTAATGTCAGAGATGAAATACCCTTCCCCAAACTTGGACAGTCTGAAACATTTTGCCTTGGCATTTCTGATGTCACAAGTTAGTACCAGAAACTGTCTGCCTGAGATGTTTTTCAGTGATTGTAAAGCCTACGGGATTTTTTTTTTTTTTTTTGCCTATGGGATTTTTTAAAAATACAAGGTCAACATTTTTTTTCTTCTTTTCTTTAAAATCACAAACAAACAAAAATCTTTCTATAAGAACTCACAGGATATGGAAAAAATGAGTCCCTTCCCAGGAATTACTACTGCCACACCTCTTCTTACCTACCTGTCTAAGCATTCATGAACAAAATTTTGTAACTTATTTATTGTTTTTTTTTTTTTTTGGTCTGGGATTCAAGTTTTCCAGTTTCCATTTTTAGTTCTTAAAAATCTATGTATGAATGTATATAGGTCTGTGTGGTAGGTTTTAAAGACAACAAGAATGGCTGTGCCATCATTTATTTAACTGCTTCCCTGCTATATGCAGTTAGGTCTTTTCCAGCTTTGACATGAGCAGCAGATGCTAGTTTCTGGACTCTTATTCTTTGTGTTTATAGAACATACTGCTTTCATTTAAACATCATTTCTATCATTTCTAGGGTATTTCTTCTATGCCAGTCAACTCCACCCAATGAGTAGTATGACTTTAACATTTATACTTTTCTATTTTTATATTACCATTTTCACATAGAAAGCCTTTCTTCATTACCCTTCATTGGCAAAATTTTCATACATTATTAATTAATGTACATTAGATTTAAAGATTACTTGTTAAATTCCAAAATTTAGCAATGAAATGCTTAAATAAGTTATGATACCTATTTGCAATATAATATTATGCATCGACTCAGTGTGCTGTATTGGAATACTTAATGTGGGAAAACGCTTGTAGTACACAACGTTGATTAAGAAAATTGGGATTTAATATTGCATATTCATTATGACTACAGTTTTAAAAATAAATGTGTCACAGTAAAAAGACAAAGAGAAACACACTGAATTTTTTTTAAATTTTTATTTATTTATGATAGTCACAGAGAGAGAAAGAGAGAGAGGCAGAGACACAGGCAGAGGGAGAAGCAGGCTCCATGCACCGGGAGCCCGGTGTGGGATTTGATCCCGGGTCTCCAGGATCGCGCCCTGGGCCAAAGGCAGGCGCCAAACCGCTGCACCACCCAGGGATCCCCACACTGAATTATTAACCCTGTTCTCTGTTTGGCATTACTATAGGGGGTTATATTCTGTTTATTTTATTTATTGTTTTTTTTCTACTTATACACTTTTGTATTTTTTCCACAGTGAGCATACTTGTAATCATAAAAAATTATAACAAAATCACACCCTCTCCCACAACAGAATTCTGTTTCACTCTACTTTGCTCCATCTGTTAGATTGGCTTTCCTCATGTTTACAAGATGGCAGTCAGTACTGAAGAAGCTATATCCTTTTGCCCTCCCTTGTACGGTAGGAGAGAGAAAACCTCTCTTCTAACCACAGAATAAAATATTTTTTTGGTCCAATTGGGTCAATTGAGGTACATACCCATTCCTGGGCCAAAACAGTTGCTGGGGAAATGGTAGGTGTTGGTTGACTTAAACTGGGATTTCTGACCAAGGCCTAGGCAATGGCCACAATCACCTCAGACTCACCTGGAACTGGGAATGGAATGGAATCATTGACTGTTACAGAAGAGAAGGCTTCCTGAACAAAAGCGTGATACACTTAAGACGAAAGAGGGAAACGGGCAAATGGTGCCATGTCATTTGCTTTAAGGTGGCTTCTTTAAACAGATTTTTTTTAACTTTAGAAACTAGCTTGGATTAAAAAAAAAGAGATATGTGCTTGTTAAAACCTCAAACACTATTGAAAAGTTCAGAAAACAAAACAGGTAAATAAGCAGCCCCTAACTCCACAATTAACCTGTTAAAAATTGAATGAACATCCTCCCAGACAACTTTTTCTGTGTCCAGACACCTATATGCATGTACAGTTGTACATAAATGAGGTCATACTAGAATGCTGTTCCAGAACCTGCTTTCTTGTTTCCAGTAAATATACCTGAAAACCTCATTTAAACAAATGCCTTCGTTTTCAATTTTAAGTACCATAAATTAGTTCACCAATCCCCTACTAATGAGTTCTTTCTTTCCCTCCCTCCTCTCTTCCTTTTGTCCTATAAACATGCTCTGGTCATGTATTTTCACGTGTGTATGAGTCTTACGTTAGGACAAATTCTTTTTTTTTTTTAAGATTTATTTGGGAAAGGGTGTGGGGGGAATCTCAAGCAGACCCTCTGCTAAACATGGAGCCTGACATGGGGCTCGATCTCACACCCCTGAGGTCATGACCTGAGCTGGAACCAAGAGCCAGACATTTAGTCCACTGAGCCACCCAGGTGCCCTAGGACAAATTCTTAAAAGTGAATTTGTTGTCAAAGAAGAAGCACAGCTACCATGGGGGGCACACCAGTCCTATCCCCACCCATAGAGCATGAGTGACAATTTCCTCAAACCCTCACTGACATCTGGTTCATTAACCTTTCAGTCTTTGCCAACATAACATGCAAAGAGTCTGCTCTTTGTAGTTTAAATTTATATTTAATTATTCATGAGATTGAATATATTTTAATGTTGAATGGGCATTTACACTTCTTTTTTGCAAACTACCTATCTCATCTGTATTCCATTGTGTATCCATTAGGTTTTTGTTTTTGTTTTTTTTTTTTTGCTTTATTCCTCCCAGCTCTACTGAGATGTAATTGATGTATAACATTATATAATTTTAAAGTGTACAATGGTGATCATTTTGATACACAGGATGCTTTTTTGCTGCAAATAAGAGAAAACCCAGCTCAATATGGGTGGATGAAAAAGAAGTAAGAAGGCAGCCATCCATATTTTCTTGTAATACTTTAAAATTTTCAATGATCTTTAAGTATCTGATCAATTTGAAACTTTTCTGGTATAATAAGTGACAGTATAGAGCCAGATTTATTTACTTATTTTTCCCAGAGGGTCATCTAGTTGTTATAATGTAATTTTAACTGAGTTTCAATTTAAGGCAATCATGAGCCATGGGCAAGAACAGACAGGTAGGAAGATGTGCAGCCGATGGGGAGACTCAGCTTTAGTTCTCAGCACAGATTATTAGCTGCCTGTACAGTGTCCAACACATCATTCAACCCACCCGAGCCTCAGTATCCTTATATAGAAAAGAGAGATTATCTGACAAAACACTCTAGAATGTGGCTGAAAAAGATGTGTTGGCTTTGACCCCCTTGTAATTTTGCCTTCCTGGAAACAATTGCTTAATTCACCAACAGTGGGTCATGTCTCCCTGTGTTACAGTCCAGCATGTGCATGGCTACGGGACCCGGACTGGATATGTTCAACAGCACGCAGATTATAGGACGGATCATCTATGAGAGAGCAAAGGTCAGCCGCGGGCCCAGCTTCTTTCAACCTCCTTTAACGTTGTTCTTTAAAATCCACTGACAGCGCTCGTTGCACAGCCAGCAGTGGTGGGAGGCAGCCGAAGGCCACGCTGCATGAGGTGCCTGGAAGATGGTTGCCTGGCGGCTCCGCTAGGAGGGCTGCTTCCACGAGCACACAGGCACCCCTCCCGCTACCCACCTGCCTCCTCCTAGGAGGTATTTGTGTAAACCGAGGAGCAAGAAAACGTTGTTTCAGTCTGAGTGCTGGCTTCAGACTGTGGGGCAATAGGCGGGGTGTAAGGATCTACCACTGCGTCACACGAGAGGGACCCAAGCTCTTTAGGCCTGGGCCGACCAGTGGCCTGGCCCTGGTGACGAGGTGAACCCAAGCGGTAAAGCCCCCCAGGCCTGCAGTGTGGATGCAACCTAGTTCCTAGTCTAATTCAGTATGTGCCCCAACCGTCCATCTCATATTTTCTTCTTTCTTAAGTCATGTTTGGATGTGGAGCGGATCTGGTCTTCCGTGAGGTTGCTCCGAGTTCTCTACGTGCATCCCTCTGCTGAAATATTATCTTCCATTTGCCCCCGTGTTTTGTGTCCACTCCTCTGGGGACAGATTTCTGATGGAAAAGACACATGATGATGTCAGCCTGCCCTCTCTTCCTTAGTTCAGTCTCTTCGTCTGCCTGGCTTGCTCCTGCCTGTCGCATGTGTGCACGCGTGACTGTCCGTATTTTGCTCCAAGGGTTCTGAAGTGCATCAGGAGCAACCAGGGAAGAATGAAAAGACCTTTAAAAACATTAGCCACCAGTCAGCCCAATTGCTGCAATTCCTTTTAATGAGTGTGGTATTATCAGTGGATGGTTCTGGATTAACAGATTCTAGTGAGGGGGTGCACCAATGACGCCATTTGCTGTCAGAAGTTTTGTTACTGTCCTGGGCCCGGGAATTGTAGGGATTTGTCCCCCACTCTGGATTCTCTTTTCAGGAAGGCCCAACTTTGCTCTTACCCAGGAGGCAGCTGGTGTTACTGACAGCTCATTGCAAGAGCCCCCACATGGCTGTGCAATCAGGGATGGGGGTGACAATTGGTGTCAGGCAGGGCGGGCCTACCACGTGTGGCACAGATCAATACAAGCCCACGTTTCCCATCACACTGACTCATATTTTCCAGGAGATGAGAAAAACATTACTTCACCCTACAGGAACAACAACAAAAAAGAATCTCCAAGGGTGGATGGTGGGTGGGAGAGTGGCACATCTTCCAGCCACCCTTTGGTGCCAGCCCTGCCGGAGGACTCACAGCTTCCAAACGAGAGTCCATGAGGTCACGCTCTTGTTCTGGCATGACAGTTGTTTGGCCTACCTTGTCCCAATCTTAAGTTTACTTGACTGTCTCTCAAATTCTGTATCATAGAATTTGCTGTTTGGGGGGCAATGGACACAGGTCAGTGGCTCAGGGCCTCCAGGCGTCTGGGATGCAACTGGGGTTGGCAGTTGTACCCACTACGTGGGTAGTGACCATTCGTGCACAGGCCGCAAAACAAAACTCGGCCAATGGGTGCTTTTCCAAAGGGGCAGGTATTGGGCACGCTCGGTGCCGTTCACTTCAGCCCCTGTGCTTCTAACGTGAGCCCATGTGGGTTTTCCAGGAACTGTATGCCTCTGCCTCCCAGGAGTTAACCGGACCACTTGCTGCGGCTCACCAGTGGGTGAATATGACGGATGTCACCGTCTGGCTCAACTCCACGCACTCGGTAAGTGTCACCGAGCCATGTGGATCATGCCACCAGGGCTAAAGCTCTGGGCTGATCTCATTATTTACTTGAGGTTTAGCTTCTGTTTCTTGTTTCGGTTTACTTCTTATTTTTGTGCTGTTTTTAAAATCTTCCCTTTAGGTAAAAACGTGTAAACCAGCCCTGGGCTACAGTTTTGCAGCCGGCACGATTGATGGATTTGGGAGCTTCAATTTTACGCAGGGTGAGGTGCAGTCTGACGACATTTGTGGTTGCAGGTTCTGGAAGGTTTAACTGTAGCTGCACATTTATTGTTTTTTACTATTATCTTTAGATCCCAGGAGTGCACAGGCTTTTGAGGTGTGAACATGATAGCCAGATTTCCCTGGGGTACGTGTCTTCTGGAACTTAGCTTCCACTTATTCAAATAGAGTAGGACACAACTTCTCTCTCTCTCTCTCTCTCTCTTTTTTTTTTGGACACAACTTCTCTTTGCATTTAGGTCTATGGGTGGATGCTCTTTAACGGGCCTGGGGTTAGGGTAGAGGTGAGAGGAGGACAGAGCGGGATTGTCATTGTACCTTTAACAGTGTGAGTTTGCTGTGCTCTCTGCTAATGAATGCCTCTTTCTCTGGTGCCTTTACCGAAGCCCAGAGGCCTCAGGGCGGAAGGCTTCAGGAACCCCAATATGAGCTCCCAGGTCCTGTTTCTGGGTGCGTTTCCACAAATTTATAACTGGTTACTGTAGGTCGTGCATCCTTTTATCCCGATCATCTCTGTAATAACAACGCGGCTGCAAAATAGAGAAAGTAGAAAAATGGACAAGACTCACTTGTAGGAAACGTTTTGGCTTCTTTCATTCTTGCTTTTTTTTTTTAAAAAAAAATGTGTATTTGGAAACATTGATTGACAAATTAATGAAGGCAGTTGCAATTTGAGACATTTGGCTCATCCTTCCTGGTAATACTTCGTTCAGTGGTCTAATTTCCCAGAACAGTAATTTTTAACAGCTTTATTGAGAAATAATTCACATACCATATGATGTACCCATTTAAAATGTATAATTCAGTGGTTTTTAGTGCATTCACAGATGAATGCAACCATCGCCACAGTCTGTTCTGGAGCATTTTCATCACCTTGAAAAGAAACCCTGCTCTCTTTAGTTTATTACAATCCCTAGGCCTCATCTCCTCCAGACCTAAGCAACCCCTGATCTTTCTGTCTCTATTTTCCTATCCTGGATGTTTTCTATAGATGGAATCATAAAATATGTGGCATTTTATGTTGACTTCTTTCACTTCACATCATGTTCTCAAGGTTTGTCTGCATCGTACTATTTATCAGTACTTCATTACTTTCTACGGCTAAACCCTTTGAGCAGGGTGCAAATCCTGTCTTCCCTAAACCGTCACCCCTGACAACCATCATTTTACTCTCATTTCTATGATTTTGGCTTTTATAGGTTCCACATATTAAGTGAGAACCTGCAGTTTGTCTTCCTCCATCTGATAATTTTACTGCTCCTTTCCAATTTCAATGCTTTTTTTTTTCTTGCCTAATTGCTCTTGCTGTGACTTTTCTTAAATTGGGGGTTGAAGAGTGACTAGTTAGACAGGAAGACTCCACCACCCACCAGAGTTCCTACTGAATGGGGAATCTGTTCTCTTCTTATAGAAACTGTTATGTTTTCTGCCAGAGAAATGGGCAGAGGCCTCTCCCTAGAACATGGCTGGGGAGATGTTACTCTCTGGGAAGGCCCCCCAATCTCTGTGAACATGCCCAAACAGGCCCAGCCTTCTGTGTTCCTCAGTAGGGAATAGAATCTTACCAATAAGGTGGAAAGGGTCTGAAACAGGGCCCCTCTTTACCCTACAAAAACCTTATACTAAAAGGAGAAGGGGAGGAAGCACCAATGAAGAATTTGAGATGTCTGAGTGTAGCTTTTTCAAATATGAAGCATTTGTAACCAGTCCGTTTTAAAATTTTAGATTCTTGACCTTATAAAACTGGAATTTATTAACACCTACTCTTATATTTCTTATTGACGAACAGAAATAAAATTCATGAGCCAAAAATCCAAAGCAAAACTAAAAACAGGGAAAAGCTGATAAAACTTTAGTATATGTGCTGCCAAAGCAAGCACAAGCTGGTAAAACTAAATGTGGATCTCAGCATTAACAGCTGAAAGGAGAATGTTGGTTTTTAGGTTCTAAGTGGAAGGTTAGTCATATACTATCTATGACCTTATCTGATGTACATTCCTTCTATACCCAGTATGCCCAGTTATCATGAAAGGATGTTCAATTTTGTCAATGCTTTTTCTGCATCTATAGAGTTGATCATACGATTTTTATCTTTCACTCTATTAATGGGGTGAGTCATATTTATTTATTTGCATAGTTTGAACCACCCAGGAATAACTCTCACCTGATTGTGGTGTACGATCCTTTTAATCTGCTGCTCAATTCAATTTGCTGGTATTTTTGTTTGGGATTTTTGCTTCCATATTCATCAGGTCATATCATCCTAAAATTTTCTTTGTTTGTAGGGTCCTTATCTGGCTTTGGTATCAGGGTAACCCTGGCCTTGCAAAATGAGTTGTGGAATCATCCCTCTTATTCAATTTTTGGGGGAAGTTTGAGAAGGATTGACATTAACTCTTCCTTTAATGTTTGGTTGAATTCACCAGTAAAACCATCAGATCATGGGCCTTTCTTTGTGAGGAGACTTTTGATTATTGGTTCAATCTCCTTACTCATCAGTCTCATAAAATTTTCCTTTCCTTTGTGATTTAGTTTGTATGTTTCTTCTAGGTTTTCCAATTTTGTGCTGTAAAATTGCTCATGGTAGTCTCTTATGATTCTTTGCATTTCTGTGTTAGCAGTTGTAATGTCTTGCCTTTCATTTCTCATTTTCTTTGAGTCTTCTCTCTTTTTTCTTTAGTCTAACTAAAGGTTTGCCAATTTTATTTATCCTTTTTTAAAAAAACAGCACTTCATTTTATTAATCTTTTCTATTGTTTTTCTGGTCTCTGTTTTTTTATTTCTGCCTGACTTTTGTTCTTTCCTTCCTTCTGTTAACTTTGGGTTTGTTTTTCTTTTTCTAGTTCCTTGGGGTATAAAGTTAGGTTGTTTATTTGCTATTTTTCTTCTTTCTTTTCTTTTTTTTTTAAAAGATGTCTTTATTTATTTGAGAGAGAGAGTGCGAGAGAGAGAATGAGAGAGAGAGAGAACACAAGCATGGGGGGAAGAGGAGAGGAAGAGGGAGCAAAAGAAACTCAGACACAGGGCTCAATCTCATGACCCTGAGATCACAACCTGAGCCAAAACCAAGAATCACACTCTTACCCAATGAGCCACCCAGGTGCCCCTCTGTTTTTCTTAATATAAGGGTTTATCCTTATAAATTTTCCTCTCAGGACTTCTTTTGCTGCACCCAATAAGTTTAGGTATGTTGTATTTCCAATTTTATTTGTTTTGTGATATTTGTGATTTCCCTTTTGATTTCTTCTTTGATGCACTAGTTGCTCAGTAGTGTGTTGTTTAGTCTCCACATATTGGTGAATTTTCCAGTGGTCCTCCTGTTATTGATTTCTAGTTTCATCAGAAAAGATAGCCTGTATAATTTCAGTCTTCTACATTTGCTAAGACCTGTTACCTAACATGTGATCTCTCCTGGGGAGTGTTGTGTGCACTTGAGTAGAATATATATTCTGATGCTGTTGGATTAAATGTTCTGTATATGTCTGTTGGGTTCATTTGGTCTAAGGTGCGGTTCAAGTCCAATGCTTCATTATTGATTTTTCTGTCAGGATGATCTGTCTATTGTTGAAAGTGGGGTAAAATGTGTCCTACTATTATTGTATTGTTCATTTCTCCCTTCATATCTGTTCATCTTTGTTTTATGTATTTAGGTGCTCTCATAGTGAGTGCATAAATATTTACAATTGCCATATAATCTTGATGAATTTACCCCTTTACAAATATATATACAAATATCTTGTTGCACTTTTGGATATATATATGCTCCCGCTTGCTTTTGGTTTCCATTTGCATGGAATATATATCCATTGGGCCTTTATTCCCCCATTTGATCACTCTATACCTTTCGTATGGAGAATTTAATCCATTTCCATTTAAAGCAATTATTCAAAGGTTAGTACTTACTAATGCCATCTTATTGTTTTCTGGCCATTTTGTAGTTCCCTCATTCCTTTCTTCCCCCTTCCTTTGTGATTTGATGGTTTTCAGTGATAGTATGTTTTGATTCCTTTATGGTTTGCATATCTACTATAAGTATTTGCTTTTTAGTTACTATGAGGTTTACATAAAACATCCTATTTATAGTTATGTCTATTTTAAGCTGATCGTGTAACTTTGATTGCATACAAAAGCTACCCTTTTATCTCCTCTTCCCATACCTTATGTTTTTGATGTCACAATTTGTATCTTTTTATATTGTGTATCTGTTAACAGAGTATTGTAGCCTTAGTTATTTTTAATACTTTTGTATTTTAACCTTCACACTAGAGTATGAAGTGCTTTATATAGTATCATTTAGTATTAGAATATTCTTTTTTTTAATTTTTATTTATTTATGATAGTCACAGAGAGAGAGAGAGGGAGGCAGAGACACAGGCAGAGGGAGAAGCAGGCTCCATGCACCGGGAGCCCGATGTGGGATTCGATCCCGGGTCTCCAGGATCGCGCCCTGGGCCAAAGGCAGGCGCCAAACCGCTGCGCCACCCAGGGATCCCTAGTATTAGAATATTCTTAATTTGGTTATCTACTTACCTTCCCTAGTGTGTTTTATACTTTCATATCTTTTATGTTAGTATCCTTGTATTTTACTGAAGAATCCCCTTTAGCATTATGTGTTCCATAATACATGTAGGTTTTCTTCACTCTTTTATTTTTTCATCCTCTGATTGGATAATTTCAAATGACTTACCTTTGAATTGACAGATTATTTCTTCTTCTTGATCAAATCCACTATTGGTGTGCTCTACTGTGTTGTCATTTCATTCCCTGTGTTCTTCAGCTCCAGAATTTCTATTTTTTCAATGATTTTTATCTCTCTGTTGAACTTCTCATTTTGTTCATATGTTATTTTCCTGATTTTGTTGTCTGTGTTCTCTTGTAGTTGTTGAGCTTTCTTTAAAAAAAAAAAAAAAGTATTTCAAGGGGCACCTGGGTGGCTCAGTTGGTTAAGTGTCTGCCTTTGGCTCAGGTCATGATCTTGGGGTGCCAGGATCAAGCCCCACATCAGGCTCTCTGCTCAGCAAGGGGTCTGCTTCTCCCTCTCTTTCTGCCCCTTCCTGCCACTTATGCACTCTCTCTCTCTCAAATACATAAATAAAATCTTTTTAAAAATTATTTTGAATTATTTGTTCATAGATCTCCATTTCTTTGGGATCATTTATTGGAAATTATGTGTTCCATTGGTGGTGTCATGTTGCCTTGATTTTTGTTGTTTTTTAGAGCCTTGAATTTTGGCTGTGTATTTAATACAGCAGTCACCTCTTTCAGGCTTTGCAGACTGGTTGTGAGGTGGAGGGAGACCTTTACCCAAGGGTGTGTGCAGGGACATTGGATGTGTGAGCCGTGGCAGTTCCAGATCCAGAGCAGGTCAAATGGCACAGTCTCCATGTAGCTCTGTCAGTTTAGGTCAGCACTGATGAAGACTGTTGGTCCACAAACACCAAGGCTGTGGGTGTCTGTAACTGTGATCAATGTTCTTGGGATCTCTAGGCTGCTGCTGAAATCCTCATCTCCTTCCCCACTGTGTGTGTGTGTTGTGGGGGGAATGTCATGCCTGAGGCTCTCTTGGTGCTAGGTTTGGCTTTTGAGTGCCCTCACCATAGTGGTGGCACTGGTGGCTGATGCATGAATGCCTGTGGAACAGTGACAGATCTGAGATCTGGAGCAGAGGTGCTTTTAGAGTAAGGACAGCACCAAGGTCCAGGGCACTGGCTTCCCAGTAGTGATTCTGTGCCTGAGTTCTTGGTAGATGTGGAGCAGCCATGGAGCTGGGGAATGGAGCACATGTGCTGGCAGAGGACATTGTCTCCGGGGTCCAGGATAGCCTGCAGTGGTGGTGGCTCTAGTGCCTGAGACTCAGATACATGCAGAACAGCTGCAGATCCAGGGTCTGGAGCAGTGGCACACACAGTGCTTCCACGACATTAGATTCTGAAACATGGGTGTGGATGGAGCAGATGGAGCTCTGGGGTCAGGGGCACACTTAGGGTGGGGGCTGAAAAACCTGGTCCCAGGATGATGCACTAGCAGCTCCTTATAAGTGAGGACTAGCAGCATCTCATCCCCTGGGGGTGGGCCATCATAACCAGTGGTGACGGCCACTGGTTACCTTAGTCACAAAAGTTGCTGGTGTCCTCTGTGGAACAGGCTGCTGGGGTCTATGCCAGTGAAGACCACAGGATCCTCTGCTGTGAAAACCACAGTAAGTCTGTCATAGGGGGTCTTGAGTGGCAGGGGCTGCTGGAGTCCTCCATGGAGCAGGCCTTTGGGCACTGTGATGGCACCTGCCATGGGCTGACACCAAGACCTGTACTTCTGTGTTCCTCGCTGTTTCTGCTACGTTAATCCTTCTAGTGATCCTTTCTGTGTGAGTATTCCATTTTTCCCTCCATAGGTTCTTAATTGGACTTAACTGAGCCCTCCCAGGACTATTTTTATTTGCAAGTAGCTAACTGTTGTTTTCTGGGAGGTGACAAAGGCAGATATTTTCTACTTTCCCTTCTTTACCATGCCACTAATCTTTTGTTTTTTATTTTTTATTTATTTTTTTTAAATCCTTTTTTTTTAATTTTTATTTATTTATGATAGTCACAGAGAGAGAGAGAGAGAGGTAGAGACACAGGCAGAGGGAGAAGCAGGCTCCATGCACCGGGAGCCCGATGTGGGATTCGATCCCGGGTCTCCAGGATCGCGCCCTGGGCCAAAGGCAGGCGCCAAACCGCTGTGCCACCCAGGGATCCCAATCTTTTGTTTTTTAAATATGGGTGTTAAAATAATACATTTCCCTCTAAGCACTTCCTTTACTGCATCCCATGAGTTTTGGTATATGATGTCTTCATTTGGATTTATCTGAAAGCATTTTCATATTTTCTTTTAATTTCTTCCTTGACCATTATCTATTTATGATCATGTTGCTTCATTTCCACATATTTGTGAGTTTCCCAAATTTTCTTCTACTATTTATTCCTAATTTCATTAAATCGTGGTTGGAAAACATACTTTGTATTATTTATACCCTTTCAAGTTTATTGGTGTTTATTTCATGGTCTGCATATAGTCCATCCCAGACAGTGTTCTATTTCTTTTTCTTTTTTTTTTGCACCTCGAGGTGCCCCTGCAGTTTTTTTTTTAATTTTTAAAAATTTTATTTATTTATTCATAAGAGATGCAGAGAGAGAAAGAGGCAGAGACACAGGCAGAGGGAGAAGCAGGCTCCCTGTGGGGAGCCCAATGTGGGACTCAATCCCAGGACCCCGGGATCATGACCTGAGCTGAAGGCAGACGCTCAACCACCGAGCCATCTGGGTGCCCCAGACAGTATTCTGTATGCAGTTGAGAAGAGTGTCTGTACCTGCATGGAGGGTGGTATCTGCAGGTACCTGTTAGGTCCACTTGGCTTCTAGTGTTGCTTGCATTTTCTATTGTTGACCTTCCAACTGGTCATCCCAGCTATTACTGTAAGTGGGTTATTAATGTTTCAACTGTTATCTTTGAGTGTCTCTTTCTCCTTCCATTTCTGCCAGTTTTGGTTTGTGTATTTTGGCGCTCTATTATTAGGTCCATATGTGCTTTTAATTTTTTTTTAATTTTTATTTATTTATGATAGTCACACAGAGAGAAAGAGAGAGAGGCAGAGACACAGGCAGAGGGAGAAGCAGGCTCCATGCACCAGGAGCCTGACGCGGGATTCAATCCCGGGTCTCCAGGATCGCGCCCTGGGCCAAAGGCAGGCACTAAACCACTGTGCCACCCAGGGATCCCCATATGTGCTTATAATTGTTATCTTTCCCTAATGGATTATAGATCCTAAATTGATTAATAATTAAATTAATACAAAAGATCGGTTTCAGAATTAATGGAACTTTCCCCAGATTGTGGCATGGACCCATGATTTTTGCATTCTATTCTGTGTGCATGCACGCACATGTGGCTGTGAGCACGCCTGCATGCATGTGTGTAGATGATTAAGTGATGAATTAAGAGAGGCTCTTACTGTGGACCACAAGCCAAAATCATTTCTTCAAGTTGGAGGTGTCATTTTTAGTTTTTAAAATGGGAAAAAAGTGATTCCGTTCATAGATCTGTATAATTAATTATGTCATATTGTTTTTATTTGCAACATGGGTGAGGAATTGCAAAGGAAACAAAACTTTAAGGATGTTGAACAAAATGTATTATTTTATTCTATCAGCCACTGTGGGGATCTAGTTAAATAATGACTCCTATTTTAGAATGCACAGGAAATTTTCCCTTTTCTATTATTCAAACCATTTGGAATTATTTGGCAACAGCCATAATAAAAAATCTTTGGGGATCCCTGGGTGGCGCAGCGGTTTGGCGCCTGCCTTTGGCCCAGGGCGCGATCCTGGAGACCCGGGATCGAATCATTGAATCCCACGTCGGGCTCCCGGTGCATGGAGCCTGCTTCTCCCTCTGCCTGTGTCTCTGCCTCTCTCTCTCTCTCTCTCTCTCTCTCTCTCTCTCTCTCTCTCTCTGTGACTATCATAAATAAATAAAAAAAATAAAAAAAAATAAAAAATCTTTGCAGTAAAGGCATCATTGTACATTTGTCAAAGTGATGGCATTTTTCAGAGGGTTGGAATCAAATTAGTGTTAATGTTCCTAATAGGGACAACAGTAGGGGATCCATTTTGGGACACTCTTCGGGATCAACTCCTGGGCAAGCCATCTGAAGAAATCAAACAGTGTCAGAAACCAAAACCAATCCTTCTTCACACTGGAGAGGTAATGCATTTTGACTATCATGGTAAAATTAGTATTTTATTTTAAAACTTACGAATTGTCAGAGACAAATGATAGATCTTTGTTGACATGGGAGTTCTTATTCAAATATTCTCACACCAAAGTTTTAATATTAAAAATATGTATGGGGTGACTGGGTGACAGACACTGAGGGGGGCACTTGATGGGATGAGCACTGGATGTTATTCTACATGTTGGCAAATTGAACACCAATAAAAAATAAATTTATAAAAAAATAAAAATATGAAAAAAATAAATAAAAATATGTATGTTAAGGATCTAACTCTAAGGAATAAAGGGTATGATTATTAAATGTTGTGACTTAGAATTTGTGATAAATAACTGGAACAATGTAAACAATAGAAAAGGAAGGATTCAATCAACATCTGTCCTATTCAGGATTCACTTATGCTGACTCCAGGACAGGAGTTCACATACAATTCTCTGCAGAGAAAAACATCCTCGGGTCATATAAAAAGGGACATGTTCATGTCTTAATTTTCTCACAACTCAGACAGCATGATTAACTAAAGCAATATTCCTTTAATACTCCTTTGGACCATGGATTTTCACGTTCTTAAAGTCAAAAGTTCGGGATCCCTGTGTGGCGCAGCGGTTTAGCACCTGCCTTTGGCCCAGGGCGCGATTCTGGAGACCCGGGATCGAATCCCACGTCAGGCTCCCGGTGCATGGAGCCTGCTTCTCCCTCTGCCTATGTCTCTGCCTCTCTCTCTCTCTCTGTGTGTGACTATCATAAATAAATAAAAAAATAAAATAAAAAGTCAAAAGGTCATACCAGAATTATTGATGAAGAAAAAATTTTTCAGTAGAGTTTTTTTCCCCCTAATATTCAATTAAAATTCTTTAGGAAGAAGAAAGAGAGGAAAGGAAGGAGTAAAAGGAAAGCCTCTATACTAATCCAACTATGCAAAGGATAGATTGTCTTGGAGAAAACTAGGAAAATAAGACACGACTTAGTAACTGCAAATTTAAAGTGCTATGAGAGTGAAAAGAGAAATCATTCACTTAAGCTGTTCCAAATGTAGACTCACTTGTCCATCTTGCTAAGGATAGTCACCACAGTGCACCAAGAGAACCCTTGGTTACCTGTTACATGTTATCATTCCATGATGCCAGAGCCATTAAAAACTTCACTGATGAGAAAATAAGTCTGGGTTAAGGGGGCACTGGCATCTGAGATCCTTATGTTATGACCAGATAGAATATTTACTACTCTAGAAAGAAAATCTGGTCTAGTAGGATCGAGCACCCAAACCAGCTGGAAACATTATAAATTCTTTAATAAAGGAACTTCTGTGAGCATCATCTGTCTCTTGACTGTAGAAAGAACAATACCCCTAACACAGTTTTCATGTTTTGGGTTCTTAGTTGACAAAACCTCACCCCTGGCACCCCGATATTGTTGATGTTCAGATGATCACGATTGGGTCCTTGGCCATCACTGCCATCCCTGGGGAGTTTACGTAAGCTCTTCTCTGTTATTTCGTAATTAAATATGTATTCATTGTGTATGTGTTTCTGCTGGAGTCACTTCTTATCATGGGCAAGAATTCTGAACTGATAATAATCCTTGGTATCTCACCGCACCATTCTGGCAACAGTGACAAATATTCCAACCCTCTTTGGGTGGGCCTCCTAAGAGTCCATCTTTCCAGGTGTATTGCCAGTGAGGAAATTATAGCAAATATAAACATTTGAAAAAGTTATTCCAAATGTAAATGATGTTGGGCATTATTATGTCAGTAGAGAGTCTTGAAGTGGTATCAAAATACAGGTACTTGAAGCAGTTGAAGTGTTAGAAGCAGGAATGATGGTCTGGAATCTCCTTATGCAGTCTTCCCTATCTGAGTAAGTAGTATCTTTCCAGTTGCTCAGGCTGGAAAACCTTGGAGCCATCCCTGAATTCTTTCTTTTTTTTTCAATTTCCCCTACTTTCAGTCTTCTCACAAATTCTACACATTACACCCAACACTTTCTATCACTCCCTCCCCGGTCTAAGCCTCCATAATTTGTCCCCTAGATTACCTCAGTAACCTCCTGTCTCACCTGTTTGCTTTTTCCCTACTCTTCTGTAGTCTTTTCTCAACACAAACAGCCAGAGGAATCCCTTTAAAACCTACGTTAAATCACGTCAGGGCTCAGAACCCTCCAATGGCTTTCCATCTCACTCCAGGTAAATTCTTAAACAGTTACAACATCCTACATGGCCCTGGGAGAGACTTTTCCTTGGCAACTTCTCTGATCTGATTTCCTACCTCTCTCCCCCTTATTCGCCCCTGCTTTAGACACCTTGGCTTCTTTGCATTTCCGAGATCAGCAAGCATGTGCCTGTCTCAGAGCTTATCAACTTATGGTTCCTTCTGCCTGAAATGGTTACCCTCCTTTTATCCCCCGACCGGCTCTTATTCCTTCAATTCTACGCTCAGATGTCTAACAGAGATGCCCCTCCTGCTGATGCTATATGACTCTGTGTCACTGCCGCCACCACCGCCATATTCCCGCATCATCACAAGGACAACCACCATCACCTTTCATCTGTACACTGCACCCCACACTCCCACAATGCGTTTCTTGACCATTACTTCTTTTATTTGTTTCTTGACCATTGTCACTCCCTGGAATGTAAGCTTCCTACTATTGAACCCTTAGCACTGAGAAGTGGGCCTCATCTGTAGTCGATATTGTGCTTTATTGAAGGATTTAACGAAGGAACGAAATGATAAATTCTTCATAGGCAGGAGCAGTGCACTCTCTACTTGCCTCAGCTCTTAATAACATTGAACACAGACAGTATATTCTTGTTGAATCAATGAATGGAAAGTGATTGTAGTCTTTGCCAGTGATATTCATTGATTCTCTTTCCTTCCATCAAGTTGTTTTGAATTTAGGATTTATTTTCAAGATAGGATGCTTAGGGACAAAAAAGCTCAACTTTTGCTTTGTGTTGCCATAGAGCTCCTACATACTTGTCCATATTGTATTATGAGCTGGGATCACATTTGTCTTTCACTATGAGTTTTTCTGTATCCTTTTCATACATTCTGAATAGGGAAACACTTAGATAATTCTGTTTTCTTGACTCAGGACCATGTCTGGACGAAGACTTCGAGAGGCAGTTCAAGCAGTAAGTTAAAAATGAAAGAAAATGCCTATTTATGTTTCATGAAGAGAAAAGAATACCCTATTCCTATGATTTGATATCTTTTAAGTTAATCTTTGTGGAGATGACTAGAGTTTTACACTTCTTGAAAGTAATATCTAGAGGTGAATATGAAATATTAGTGGTATAAGAAGAAGCTTAAAAATTATAAGGAAACTATAAACAGGTTTAAATGATTTATTGCTATTTATATACTAATAATTTAAAATTAATAATGGTTTTATGGGTTAAATAACAAATAACCTTAAGTACTTTAATATCATGGAGTCCTGTCTAAATAAGACCTAACACATGTTAGGAATTCTGGATTTTATCTACATTTACAATTTTCTTTATATTCAGGAAGCATTCCAAATGGTTCTAGAATGACATAATCAACAGAGGTCTTATTACTTGGAGCTGGAAATAACCATTATGGTTAGTTATTATCCTCCCATTATGCTTTTTAGGAAGTGGATAAAATATCTGTATTTTAGTAATAAGATTCTACATCTGCAAATGTAAGCACTAAGATGTTCATCGATCCATTGACTTGCCCAACTGTAGTGCAGTTATGGCTCTAACTTTTCCTCAAGGACTTGTCCGTACTTCTGCGTTCCCAGGAGCATTGATCACTGGGAATGACGTTAAAAGAGACATCCTATGCCACTGATTCACATCTATGATCCTGTGTTAAGTATAACTGGGCTGATAATACCCATTACGATGAAGAGTAATTTTATTGAGCTCTATCTTTCCCCCACTAGGAATTTGCAACGTATGGGATGCAGAATATGACCGTCGTTATTTCGGGTCTGTGCAACGTGTATACACATTACATTACCACCTTTGAAGAATACCAGGTAAAATAAAAATTCTCGTCATTTAAATTAACTATACCATTTTCAAGACTGTTTCATTAAATGCAGGTTTTCCTTCTAGACGTCCTTAACGGTGTTTTTGAGAGATGCCTTTGTTTTGGGACAGAGGAGAGAATAAGACAGAGGTCGCATTTGGGAGTTCTAGGTTTACCCTTTCCAAATTTGAGTAGAAATTCTGTTCTCCGTGACTTCTACTTTTTCTGAACTAAATTATTTTGTCAGGGATACTGGTAATAAGCCTGAGTGGTGGCATGCTACCTCTGTAATCCTGCCCATAGTGCTTCTGGAGCCTGAAGTTTTTGTAGAACCTGGGAATATTGTCTCATTGATAGCTACTATTAATTGAATGCACTAGATGGGCACCTTGACAATGTTATCTTAAGTCATCTTCACAACAGCTCTGGAGTAGGGTTTTTTTTATATGTATGACAGAGATTAAGAAACACAGTCTCAGAGAATTGAGGGGAGGTAATGTTTCTTTGTTTGCAAATAGCACAGAAAGTAGCTCAAGTACTTTTTAATGGTAGTAGTTAAAACCATGGAAACAATCTAGGTTCCCACCATTTCTATTTGCTAACCTATCTGCTGGTGTATCTTGGCGGTCCACACGGAGGCATTCAGCCTGCCTCTTGACAAATGGCCAGTGATGCCAGGAGTGGAGGCTGCCCTGCTGCCCTCTGTTGACTTTCCTGAAAGTCTCTGCTTTCCAGGAAATCCTATTGAATAAAGTTTCTTAATTGGGGTAAACTTGGATGGGACTAATTTTCATTAATCTATTTTTTCATTTCTCTTTAACTGTTGATTTAGAATTTCCTTCAATTAGGAGTACAGATAGCAAATGACAATAATATTAGCAGTACCTCTGACTTTGTCACAATAGGAACCCCAGATACTTTTTATATTACAGAGAGGGATTGCAGATTTGGAAATGACTTCACTCTCATAGCTATTTTAAAATCACAGTAGTTATTAGATCGGCTATCAGATCTTGTTACTCAACAAAGAAGCACAAGCATTTCTTGTTTAATAAAGAAAAACAAATATTATCCTATCACAAAATGGTTTATTATTGTTTGATTAAATATATCTCAGTCTAGGGGCACCTGGGTGGTTTAGTCGGTTAAGTACCTGCCTTTGGCTCAGGTCATGATCTCGGGGTCCTGGGATTGAATCCCACATGGGGCTCCCTGCTCAGCAGGGAGTCTGCATCTCCCTTTCCCGCTGCCCGCTCCACCCCTCACCATACTCTCTCTCATTCTCTCTCTCTTGCTCATTCTCTCTCACAAGCAAATAAATAAAATCTTTAAAAAAAGAGTCCAGGGCACAAATAAGTTTAGGAATCCCTACAACCTCTCTCAGGGACATACTCCTGCAAGGGTTAATATTAATTAATTTATTCACTAATTCATTCAACAGAAACGTGTTGAGACAGATACTGTACTAGCCATGATCTGCACATAACAATAAGTAAAAATCTGCCCCTACCTTCAAGACTATTGGGATTTATGGTCTAGTGAAAGGCAGAGAAGAGCGTGTAATCACATTTCTGTAAAAGGGATGCACAAGGTGATATGAAAACAAATAGAAAGTGTAGTAGTCTATATTGGGTGTTTGAGGTTAGAGGCTGGCAGATTTTCTGGAAGATGTAACATCTGTCTGAGTTCTTGAGAATGAATAGAGCTAGTCAGGGAAATAAAAAGTGAAGGCCGTGTCCCATATTGAGGAAAATATACATGCAAAGGTGGGGGGTGCTGAGTTAGTACCTTTGAAGGGCCATAATTAGTTGAAGGTAGTGAGACAGGGGACTAGTTGATGGGGAGGTTTTAGTTGATGGAGCATCTTTTTATGCTATACTACAGAGCTTTAACTCAACAAGGAAGGTTTTGGAAAACTGCAGTAGAATTCTAAAGAAGGAGTGTTATGATCAAGTTTTGATTTAGAAAGGTCACTAGGATGACATTGTAGAAAAACACATTGGAGGGACAAGTGTAGGGACAGAGCACTGACTGGGAAGTTGTAGTTATGACCTGGGTGAGAACCAAGAGTTTGGCCACAGTAAGATCAGGAGAGACAGAGGAAAATGAAAGAATTCAAGAGATGCCAAGTAATGGTAGCTCAGAGACTTCCAGGATATAGGATGGGAGAGAGGGAGGAGTCCAAGATGGCAGAAGGGTGGTATCCACTGGAATGAAGAATGTTGCAGGGCGAGCGGGTGTATTTGGAGTGATGAGTTCCACTTTAGTTTTGATGAGTCTGAGGTTCCTGTAGAACAACCAGAGGCTTGTAGTTCAGCTACAGGAGATGTATCTGGTTCTATTTTATAGCTGTATGGTGGTTAAATGTCCTTCTCCAGGCAGTATCATCACCACCCAATTTCTCCAGGAGTTACTGAGACTCATTTTCCCTCATTTTTTCCCTCCTGCTATGCTCCTTGAAGGCAAACATTTAAATTGCAAGTGCTTAAAATAGACTTATGCTTAGGAGCTATTTACCTCTTTCAGATTAGATGGACTGATAGTCCAAATGGCATGAACCGAGAAAACCCACTGCCTTTATCAAGTAATTGATGGTAGCCATTGACGTTCACTGGTAAATGGAAATGCCCACCACCTCTTGTCATAGTTAATCTTGAATTATGCCAGTTTGAATTATGTGAGATGTCCAACATCACCCCTCCCCTAAGATGCGCCAAATGGATGGAGATATGCAGAACAGTGTAACACTCAGCCCTGTTTCTCCTGCAGGTTCAGCGGTACGAGGCAGCGTCTACAATTTATGGACCACACACTCTGTCTGCTTACATCCAGCTCTTCAGAGCCCTTGCTAAGGCCATTGCTACGGTAATCAAAACTCGTATGCATGTGTGTCTCAGGGGTGGGGAGATGCAGAAGGATGCAAAAGAAAACCGTAGCTTCAAATGTCCAGTTTCTTTCAAAATCTTTATATTTAAAAAGTTTGTAGTCATGAAGTATTTCTAAGAAACGAAACTGATAGTAAATTCAGATACAGTTAACATCATTTGGTAGGGACAGCTTTGTTCACATACATGATTTCATATTATCCTCATGATCCCCGTGTGAAATGTGAAAGTATCATTTCCCCCCATTTTTCAGATGAGAAAATTGGTTTGGAGATGTAAGTCATCACACTTACTATAACTATAGCTGAGGGTTAAACCAGTGTTCTTCAGTGCTGGCCAGAGTCTCTGCAATCACTTCATGAGTTGAGCTGGTCATTCCTTCTGAGGTGCCCATTGCCCATATTGTAGCATCTCTGAAATGATTGCATCTTTCAATCAGAATAATTTTATGATTATGATTAGTAGCAGGTTTTTACTTTCTTGGTGGCTCAAAAATAATAGCAGTTGTTAGAATCACTAGAGGCTTAGAGGTGATGAAGTACAACCTTGGAATGTGTACACATTGCATCGACTTAGAATACATACAGCTAAGTAAGTTGTCTTAAAAGAACTCCACTGTGGACCTCTTCCTTTTGGCATGCAGTTATTAATGAAGCTGACTCTGGCATCAGATGATGAGCCAATAGGCAAGATAAAGGGCTTAAAATCATAAACAAATCTTTATATAACACCATAGAGGCCCCAGTAAAGGCTGGGACACAATTATGGCAAGGACAACAGAGCCCTTTCAGAGAAAAAGCTTGATTATATCGGGTTGAAACAAATAATACAGCTGCTTCGGTGGGTCAACACAGTTGAATATTGGCAATTCCATATGTCTCTACCTAATTGCTGACCGTATGAAGTTTCACTACAAGATGTCTACTTAGGACATATTTTAATTGCCTGTTTATTGTTTTATAGCATTCTTCTCAATTTTAGGTCTGGTCCTTTTTTTTTCAAAGTAGAGCTTCTTTAATTTTCATCCTAAAAGCTGTAACTAGTTATAGTATATTCAGATTATATGGAAAAGTGTAAACCTATAACCCATCCCGAGAGATAGCAACTGTTTTTACTAGCATTATGCCTCTACATCTACCGTTCCTCCCATGGAAATAGAGCCTTCAAATTTTATAGTGATACTTAGGGAGAAAGTGTGATTCATTTTGTGGAAATTTGTGTCATAGTCAGTTTTATGTCTGTATCTAAGATTAGCGATGTGATCTTGAAAAAAACTACTGAGTATCTCCCAGCGTATGTTCCCATTTGTGAAGGGGGAATGCCAGCAAATAGATGTTATGGCTGCTGAAAAAGATTAAATTATTTAAGTGAGGGTTAGTGTACATTATGAAGGACTATTTAAAATTTGAGATTAGCCATTGTGATGATGCTATTAGAAGTGACAAATGTGGAAAACATAGATTAAACCAGTCAAGGCACATGCCGATCTTAAGTTAAAAGTGTATTTATTATATTATTATATTTTTTAATTAGCGTAGAGAAGGACTTAGGGAGAAAAAAAATTCTGGATAAGAGAGGCCCAACATTTTTTAAAAATTAAAAGAGTAATTACAGCATCATGATACAGAGGCTTACCATGTTTTAGGCTTCTATCCAAAGTCAGACAGTTGAAAAACGGCTGTCCCAGAATCTAAACTTGTATAGTGTTTACACTCTGATTGCTGGACTACGTGGTCTGGGGGAGTGAAAGTGTTGTCTATGACCCAAATTTTCCTCTAGTGACAAAAATTTAAATTGTACATCTAGACTCACATTTTAGCAAAGTTCCCCCACATTTTGTTAAAGCTGTTAGGTCTTGGAGAGAGGATGTGAGTGTGTGTGGATGTGTCCTTTAATGAAGGCATTTCTGGAAGGCGGGAGCTTGGGGAAAGGGGCTTTAACTCTACATTCTGTGCTTCCTAAGCCAATGCTCTCTGTTCTAGGACACAGTAGCCAACCTGAGCAGAGGTCCAGAGCCTCCATTTTTCAAACAACTGATAGCCTCACTAATTCCAAATATTGTGGATAGAGCGCCAATAGGCAAAACTTTTGGGGATGTTCTGCAGCCTGCGAAACCTACATACAGAGTGGTAAGGTGCACAAAGAGATCTTGGAATCCTCCAGAAGCCTGTGTCTGGGGTTGAGGGAAAGATACTGTCTAATGTCAACACCTGCTTCTAATAATGCTGTAGACCAGCTGTTGGCAACGATAATTTTGACAACTGTTCTTAGCTCTGCAGAGCCTCTGCAAACATCAGAATGGGGAAATATTTATTTTTCAGGTGGTTGTGATGTAAAATCAAATCTCTAAAATCCAAATTCTTCTTTTCTTCTTAAATGGATGGTCATGGAACCCTTTGCTAGAGCTCAAAAAAGTCTCTTAAACCAAGGACAGGGAAAGCACGTAGAAATTAAGTAGGACTTATACTATTGCTATTTTATATTGGTCTCGTGTCCCGCAACATTGCTAAATCATTTATTAGTCCCAGTAGATTTTAGGTGGGGGATGTGTATTCCTTAGAGATTTCTACATATAAGTATCATGTCATCTGTGAATAAAAGCAAGCTCACTTATTCCTTTTTGGATTTCTTTTCTGGAGGCCTTTGATTTTTTTTTTTTTCCTTATTGCGCTGGCTGGAATCTCCAATACCCTGTTGAAGACCCACTGTAAGACTGGGCGTCCTTATCTCATTTCTAATCTTAGGAGGAAGATCTTAAATGTGATATTTTCTTAAATATCAATTTCTTGATATCTTTCTTAAATATCAATCTTAAATATGGTATTTTCTCTAGGATTTTTGTAGATGCCTTTTATCAAGTTGAGAGAGTTCTCTTGTATGCCACTATTTTTTTTTTTTGATAAAGAATGGATGTTGGATTTGCTTCAAATGCTTTCATGTCTACTGAGGTGATTATGTAGGATTTTGTCTCTGATTCTGGTAATATAGTGTATCGCATCAGTTGATTTTCAGATGTTAAATAAATACCCTTTTGTGATAGCATAGAATCTTTTTTTAATTTGTTGTTGTACTTGGTTTGTTAATATTTTCCTGAAATTTTATACTCAAGTCCATGAAGCAAATTTGTAGTCTTCTCTTCACGTGTTGTCTCCATTGCCTTTGATGTCAGGGAGAATGGGTTAGCAAGTGTTTCCTCCTGTATTTTTTGTAAGTGCATGGAAAATACTGATACTATTTCTTCTTTAAATATTCAATCAGTTTGATCAGAAAAGCCACATGGACCTTGGCTTCTCTTTATAACAGAATCTTTACTTACTACTCCAGTTTCTTTTTTTTTCTTTTTTTTTTTTTTAACTTATGATAGTCACAGAGAGAGAGAGAGAGAGAGAGAGAGAGAGAGTCAGAGACACAGGCGGAGGGAGAAGCAGGCTCCATGCACCGGGAGCCCGATGTGGGATTCGATCCCGGGTCTCCAGGATCGCGCCCTGGGCCAAAGGCAGGCGCCAAACCGCTGCGCCACCCAGGGATCCCCAGTTTCTTTACTTATTATAAGACTGTTAAATTTTTTTTTGAGTCAATTATGTGTCTCTCTCAGCACTTAGTTTGTCTTGAGGAATCTGCATCTTTCTAAAAATTGACATCTTCCTGGGAATTTGCCTCTTCCATGTAAGGTGTCTAATTTGGGTAAAGTTTATGATATGTTCTTACAATCCCTTTAATTTCTGTGGAGTCAATAATGATGGCCCTTCTTTCTTCCTGATCTTGACCATCTTTGTCTTCAGAGAGCTAGGTTTTAGCTTCACTGATTTTATCTATTGTTTTTCTGTTTCAATTTCATGGATTTTTGCCCTGGTGTATTATATTCTTCCTTCTGACTGTTTAGATTTTATTTTGCTCTTTTCATTTCTTAAGATGGAAGCTCAGGTTTTTTTTTTTTTATGTTTTAGTGTATGATTTTTATTTCTCTGTTGATTTTTTTTACTATATATATATTTGATTATTTTCCTAGTAGCTGCTTTATGGCCTTGAAAAGGAAAAAGAATTCTGATTTTCCTCTCCACACCATCCACTCTCAGGACTTCTGACCGCAGGTGTGTGGACATGTTCCCCACACCAAGCAATTCTCTGCAGACATCTTGGCGAATTCATCTGCAGAACTTGGTGTTATATCATTCAATTCAATTCTGACACTATTTACTTGGGGTTGGCATCTACCTCATAGGTTAAGGGCTCACTCCCACAAGACTGTACCCCTCCACCTCCACTTCGTCACACACTTCAGATACCAATGGTGAATCTAAGTTGTCACCTCTGCTTCTGACTGATTGGCTACAAATTGGAGATTCCCATGAGCCCCTCCTCAGGTTAAATAACTTGCTGGAACAGGCTCACAGAACTCAGGAAAACAGTTCACTTACTAGGTTATCAGTTTATTATACATGAATATAGCTCAGGAACAGCCCAATGAGGAGAAGGAGAGGGCAGGGTATGGGGGAAGGAACCAAGGCTCCATGACCTCTCCGGGAAGGCCACCGCCCCAGCATCGCCATGTATTCACCAATCTAGAAGCTCTCTGAACCCCAGACTTTAGGGACTTTTATGGAGGCCTCATGACATAGGCATGGTTGATTAAATCATTGGCTGTTGATGATTAACTCAACCCCCAGTCCCTTTCCCCTCCCTGGAGATCAGGGAGTGGGACTTGATCATTCTAACTCTCTAATCACAAGGTCAATTCCCCAACTAGCCCTCACCCTGCTGTTACTCAGAAACCCTCAGCCACTGGTCATCTCATTAACATACAAAAAGACACACCACTTAGGGGATTCTAGGGGTTTTAGGAGCTCTGTGCCAGGATATGGGGACCGAGACTACATATAAATATCTTATTATGTCATAGGGATATAATATGCATCGCAACTAATTGCACCCTACTTCAATAGAATACTAACAATTCCAAAAAATATAAAAAGATTGCTCCAATATATCTATTTTTCCTTTCCCACACTTTGTGATATAAATATATATAAATGCAGTAATACAGTGTTATAACTATTGTCTTATACACAAGCTTATACTTTTTAAAAATTTTCTTTAAATTTATTTTTTAGCTTACACCTTTAAAATAGATTAAGAGAAGATACGGAAAAGTATGTTTATAGAATATTTTAAATTCAGTCCACATATTTACCTTTCTGGTGCTCTTTATTGTTTCTTAGGAATTAGAACTATTTTTACCATCTAGCATCATTCCCTTTCAGCACGAAGAACTTCCTTTAGTATTTTTGTAGGACAGCTCTGCTAACAAATTCTCTCAGGTTTTATTTAGCTGGAACGGCTTTATTTTCCCTTTCTCTCTAAAGAATAGTTTTGCTGCATTCTTGGTTGAGAAATGTTTTTCTTTTATCACTTTGAGTGTGTTATCCTGTTGCCACTGTTCTTCTCTGACTCTCTAAAGAGAAGCCAGTTGCTAATCTTATTGGAGTTTCCCTGTAAGCAATGAACCATTTTTCTCTTATGGCTTCCAAGATTTTCTATTTGTCTCTGCCTGTCCCCAGTTTGCTACAATGTATCTAAATTCAAAGTGTTCTGTGATTATCCTGCTTGGGATTTATGGAGTTCCTTCCATTGGCAAGGTAACGTTGATCAAGTTTGGAAAATATTCATCCATTCTTTCTTCAAATAGATTTTTCATATATTTCTCTCTTTCCTTGAATTCTGGGACTTCTGGGACTTCTGGTTTGTGAATGTTGGTATATTTGATGCCCTGTTTGTTTCTGAGGTTCTAGCGATTTTCTTCACCTTTTTTCTGTCCATTTTTCAGATATAATAATTCATATTGATAAAATTCTAGTTCACTTACCCTTTCTTCTGTCTTCTCATATTTGCTATTAAACCCTTCTAGTGAATTTCTCATATAAGTTGTGATGTTTGGCTCTAGAATACCCAACCCGTTTTTTAAAATTACTTCTCTTCACTGAGGTTCTCTCAGTGATTTTAAATCATTATCATCAGACTTTTCTTCAATTCTTTACAAATGACTTGTACTAGTTCTTAGAATATCTTTATACCAGCTGCTTTGAAGTCTGTGTCTGTTAAATACAACATCTGGGGACCCAGAAAGGCAGATTTGATTGGGCTTTTTCCCCTTAATATGAGTGATATTTTCAGGTATGGACATCCCATAATATTTTGTTGTTGTTGAATACTGGATGTGTTTTGACACTGTATCAGTTCTTGATTCTAGCCTCATCTCCCCACCCTGGAGTTGTTGTTTCCGTTTGTTTGTTTGCTTGTTGAAAACTAGACTGGACAAAATTGTAAAGTCTGTCTCCCTTGCAGTGTGTGGCTACTGGATCTGCTCAGTGTTTTTATTCTTCATTTTACTTTTAAATCTGGCTCTCAAGGGTTGCCCTGTGATTACATAACTGAATGTTCAGCCACATATTGATCCCAGTATGTGCTTAAATGCTTCAGGGAGTAAGGGTTTCACTCTCTGCGACAGGTTCTTTTCCTGGCTTCAAGTGGTTCTCTTACCCACATGCAGAGTTGAGAGGAACCTCCTACAATCTCCAGAGTTCTCTTTCTGTGTGTGTAGCTCTCCTCTCTCTGGTATGTTCTTCTCTGTTACTCTACCTTGTGAACATAAGACTATTTGGCCGTCATGGACTTCCACATCTCTTCCTTAACTTAGCTTGACTGCCTGGCTTTGCTTGAGCTCTGCCTCTTTGTGCTGTGAACCACACCCTCTCCAGGCGTTGGGCTGGGGCAATTGCAGGGCTCATTTTGGCTGTTTTCTATCAGTCTAGGATCATTGTTTTCATTGATTGATTGTTCTCACTGCTCTGCTGTCTATAAAACCATGGTTTAATGCATATTTGTTCAGCTCTTTTATTTGTTTCAGGTGGGAAGGTAGATACACACCCTGTCATTCCACTTTGTGCAAATGTCAGTGCCAGTATAAGTCATTCGTGGAAAGCTTTGACTGTTTTTATTTGAATCCATCCATTTCCTGATTGTGCGTTGGAGGGAAGTATGAGACAGTATCAAAGACTAAAAAAGCCATTTTAATGCACTGTCTTCATTGATATCTGAATGTACTGAAAGCAAACTCATTGGCAAAAAAATCCTTGAGTAACTTCTCAGCCAAAAATTCCTTTGTCCATTGTGGCAAGGATATGTTCTCTAGTATTCTCAGAAGATAACTCACTTGATTAGATGGGATAGAATCCATACAGGTGCCCAGAATCCTAGAACATTTCATAAATCATGGCCCAAATATGAGCATAGCAAAGATTACTTTTACTTAAAACTCATCAAATGAGTTTCTATTTTAAGGGAGAAGTTGCCGAAGTGACGTTTGTAGGCGCTAACCCGAAGAATTCAGCAGAAAACCAGGTAAGAATCAATGATTCTTTTTATAGATTTTAAATCCACCTTTTAGTCTTTATTTGAATATCCTCATAGAGGTTAACAACATGATGATAAAATGTCCCAACTTGCTTTTCATCTTATTTTTTAGGTGTGGGGAAACTTTCAGTAGGAAGAGTAGTGTGGAATTCAGTCTGGGGGGGGGGGGAATCCCTGGGTGGCGCAGCAGTTTGGCACCTGCCTTTGGCCCGGGACGCGATCCTGGAGACTGGGGATCGAATCCCACATCGGGCTCCCGGTGCATGGAGCCTGCTTCTCCCTCTGCCTGTGTCTCTGCCTCTCTCTCTCTCTGTGACTATCATAAATAAATAAATAAAAATGAAAAAAAAAAAAGAATTCAGTCTGAGGGGAAATAAGGCATAGGAAACCTTTAACCGGGTCTGCTTAGGATCACATATTGCACAAAGCATAGAGAGCTACACAGTCTCTTGAGAAGATACAAATTTGAATATAATCCCACTTATGTATCCCAATTTAGAAACTTGACTAAATTTGGTAAAATAATTAAAGGGCCATGAATGAAGTATATCTTTGTTTCCTTCCTACTCCCATTTTGGTTTCTCTCTTCCTCCAGCACCATAGCATCTGGTCCTGCCCCCAGTGTTGCAGACTGATCATGGACCCCTAGGGGATGCTCCTGGCTCAGAGCCCTGGCCCATGTACTTTGCTTTATCTTGCACTTGCCATTTCCTCTTTATTGCTGCGACTAATTGGGTATTTATTTATTAATCTTGAGAAATATCACAAGAAATACATGTTCATGTGTAAACAGATAATATAGAAGTGCTTAAAATAGAACATGAAAGTACCTCTCTTTCCATAAACCTTCCTAGAGGTAATAATTGTTCACAGTTTGTTATATATCATTTCATACGTTATTGTATTGATCATATATAAAGTATACATATGTAATGGAGCTATTAATGAAACGAATTAATTTTACTCCTCTGTAACTCCTTTAGAATGTTCTTATAACTGGGGCATCTGGGTGGCTCAGTCAGTTAGGCATTCGACTCTTGATTTCTCTTAGGTCATGATCTCAGGGTCATGAGATTGAGCCCCACATTGGGCTCTGCACTTGATGTGGAGCCTGCTTAAGATTCTCTGTCCCTCCCTCTCTGTAATCCCTCACTCTCTCTCTCTCTCTAAAAAAGAGAGAGAGAGAGAGAGAATGTCCTTATAACTACACAAGTAATAGGTAGACATATTCCAGTTGTAAAATTAAAATAATAAAGAAATGAGTAGAAGCAAAAGAGAGTAAGTATACAAAAGTGATTTCTTTCTTTTTCTTTCTTTTTTTAAATTTTTATTTATTTATGATAGTCACACACACACACACACAGAAGAGAGAGAGAGAGAGAGAGAGAGAGAGAGAGGCAGAGACATAGGCAGAGGGAGAAGCAGGCTCCATGCACCAGGAGCCCGATGTGGGATTCGATCCCGGGTCTCCAGGATCGCGCCCTGGGCCAAAGGCAGGCGCTAAATCGCTGCGCCACCCAGGGATCCCCAAAAGTGATTTCAAAATCAGATTTTTTAGTATGGCCAAGGATGTATTCACTCTATCCCTCAGCCATTCTTCCCAGAGACCATAGTTACTTACAGCTCCAGATACCTTTCTCCCAAATGAACCTTCCATTTCTGTTCGTTGAAATATCATTCTTGCTGTGATAACGATGGTGGCGATATGACATTGTCAGACATGTCACTGGGGAAAAATGTTCCACTGCCTTGGAAAGTCCACATGCACCTGTTTAATTTCTCTAGGCAGTCAAACTATACCATAATATTTGCATGTTTGTAGCATTGTTTTCTGAAGGTATCAACGTGTTATAGCAAAACTGCAGGATTAGATGTCCTTTGATATCCTTTGGGTGGAGAAATATCGTCATCATTGCTGCCTTGGAAAAGCAGGAGAACAAAATGCTTAAAGCACTGTAACAAGAATAGAATTGATTTCTAAGAGTGCCCTGGGACTTGGCATACAAAAATTTCCACTACCTCTTATTATTAGTAATCCTCAGCACTATTTATTGAAGGTTTACCCTTTGCAGGCAGCAGGTGAAGTGCTTTACATACATTATTACATCAATCTCATTTAATCCTCACTGCTATCCGTTGGCTTATATATTATTGTCTTCATTTTACAGATGAGGAAACTGAAGTTTAGAAAGACTAAGTAACTTGTATTAATTAATTGTGTATCACGTAGAGATTAGGATTGAGAGGCGGGAAAGGATAGTCACATAATTCACATAGGCACTGGCCTAGACTTGTTATCTGGTCTACACTTTAGACCTGTGTGCAAGGGCTCACTCAGTCTCCTCCTCCATATATAACCTCCCCAGTGTCATTCTACCCTGAGTGGCCAGAAACTGTTCTCTTTACAAGTCACCATCATAATGAAAGCTTTATTGAATATAACCTATCAGTTGAGTAGTTAGAGTTTTAAATAATCCCATGGCCCACTGGAAGTAAGTGATCTACAGCAAAGTTTTATTTGAACACCTCTAAGTGACAGGTATAAAGGGCTGTAATGGATAAAAGTGAATTAGACACAAATCTTGCCTTTAAGGGCCCACAGTCCAAAGATTTCTGAGGGAAATTGAGATTTATGACCTCCGTGTCTTTTAATTTGTTATATTATTCAAATCTGTGGTTTATTTGACATGTAATTCTTGGTCTCAACTGAATTATTATAGCAATTTTCCAATTGGAAAAATAAAACCTGTTTTTGATGTGCTTTCTAGGAATCCATTATGACAATATATAGGGATTGCTTTTAGCACCCCAGGACAGGGAAGATTTACGCATCCTTGTCAATTCTTTCACTTGGGAGGTATATTTACTAATAATTCATTTACCCAGGGAAGGAAAGATGAAGAAACTCTCCCGTTTTCTCTCCTAAGTCTTGAGGTGACTAGAGAAAGTCTTGGAATATAGATCAATAAACATGTCATTAAAAGGTTTGACTTCTGCCTTTTTAAAAACCTCAAATTTTATTCTATCTCTTCTCTGCCCTCATTTGCAAAATTTGCTATCAGCTCTAAAATTATGATCATTAGTTTTCTAAAAAAAAAATAAAAATAAAAAAAGGTCATGGTGTGCCTAGATAAGTTAACATTCTGAAGACATTGCCAGAATGTAAAGAGAAGTGCCTAGGAATTTGGATGAAATTCTAATACATTGTCACACAAGACATTGGCAGGTTAGCCTGCAGTCCACAAGGGATGTATTTACAGACAAGTTCCTTCTAGGACTGTGCAAGGGGTCTCATCAGTTATATTAATTGCATTTCAGACCCATCGGACCTTCCTCACTGTCGAGAAATACGAGGCCACATCAGCAACATGGCAGATAGTGCATAATGACGCCTCCTGGGAGACTCGGTGAGCATGTCTGTTGGATGTTTTGTCTTTCAAGCCTTGACAACAGTTGGTTAGTAATGCAGGGAAGACAAATGGGAAGCCTGGCTCAATGCATGATATTAATGATATCAAATTCCCAAGAGCCTTCTGGCCATATTTGGTTGATTTATTAGACTTCATTTTGATTCTGTTTTTCTGCAGAACAGTGTGGTGTGTGCTTCTGGAAGATTAGGTGCTAATGAGGTTAAGCCTCCATTTTTGTAAACATCTGTTAGTTGTTTGTTTTTTTTCCACAGCCACAGACATTACCTCTAAAGGCTGGCTAGTCAGTCTTCCTGCAAACTGGCTGAAAGGCACACTGGGGTGAAGGTGTTGCTATGACTCTACAGAGCCTGACATTCTTTCTGGGAAAAACACGAGTCTATACGCAAAGTGCACTGAATGTGTATAGGGGGTCAATGATTCTTCACTGGAGTCACTGAAAGATGGCTGGAGCGCTATCTCTTCCTGACTCAAGGAAGGAAGGCAGGAATTTACCAATGGAGATCCCTCAGAGAGGCATATCTCTGTGCCTTTTGTTACCAAGTACCTGAGCTGAATACAGATTTTAAAGTTTTGAAAATGTGTCCGAAATAAGAAAAACTTTCTGTTGCCAAGTTTATATATTTCACACTCCATGACAAATGGGCAAAATTTTTGGCAATTTGTCTCTAATTCAGATCATCTTCAACTACGTGATGGGTTGTGTGTTGGTTTGCTTCCTGTGGTTAACTGAAAATCAAAGTTTGACAATGCTGTGGCCCCTTTGATAGTCACACATAAATAAGGGTGTACATTTTCCTCTAATCTTTAGGACTCTAGGGCATAGGTCATTTTTAAACAAATAATAAACATATATTTATTATTAAAATAGGCATAGGTCATTTTTAAACAAATAATAAATATATATTTATTATTAAAATAGGCATAGGTCATTTTTAAACAAATAATAAATATATATTTATTATTAAAATAGGCATAGGTCATTTTTAAACAAATAATAAATATATATTTATTATTAAAATAAGATTCTACAGATAATTTAAAAAGAGGGATGATTTTTTTTTTTAAGCCCCAAATCAGAATAGCAGTAAACACCGAGGACATGGATAGACCTCAGTCTGGTTCACCAGCAGCAGCATTGTCACCTCTGTCATGAGATCACTGGGCCCATCATTGAAAAACACAGCATGTTGAGAACACTGTCTCTGCCCAGAGCAGTCACTCTCTACACAAGTGGGGACATCAGTCAGTTAGCCAGTCGTATCTTACTTCCCCAGCAGAGTATCTGACCTCCTTGGTGGCGGTCTGCAAGGACCCACGTGACCTGACTCCATCTGTTTCTGTAAGCTCAACCACTGTGCCACTGGGCACTAGGCCCTGATCCTACCAGCCTGCATTCTGTTCCTCCGCTACACCACGGGTTTTCCTGCTGGAGCCACTTTGCATCTCTGTTCCTCTTTCCTGGAATGTCTTTCCTCTGGGCATGTGTGGGTTCAGGGTGAACAGCACCTCCTTAGAGATACCTCTGCCTTACTTTGTTCATTTCACTTTGCACTTTTAAGATCACTTGCTGATTTACCTGTTTATTGCCTTTCTTTCCCCCCTGTCCTTGTGGTGGTGGGGGGGAGAGCATAAGCTTTGGGCCATGTCTGTCTTGCTCAGCACTGTATCCTCACACCTCTAGAATTAGAGTCTGGCACATGCACTCATTAAGTATATATTTTTAACAAATGAATCTTGATGGGAATAGAGCTGTCAGTTGACACAGAGGATGATAAGGGTGGAAGGAATGCTCTAGCAGAGCAGGGGACATCCTGTATTCTGAGTATCAGGTGAGGGAGGCTTCCCGGAATGGATAGTGTCTGGGTAGTTAGAAAGATAGAACGAGTGAAACTATTTCTACAAATGGCTATTTCTTCTTCTTCTTCTTCTTCTTCTTCTTCTTCTTCTTCTTCTTCTTCTTCTTCTTCTTCTTTCTTTTTTCAAATGGCTATTTCTTAAAGGGTCTCTTCTAGAAAATAAGTTCCTGTCCCTGTTTTGTTCATTGCTGTATTCTCGCTATCGAGGATAGCGCCTTGCTTATGGTGGGGACTCCCTGAATATTCATATGGTGAATAATCATACATTCTTCTAATCACACGTATTTAAGAGTAAAATCTGATTGGTTTGTCTCTTTCCTCCCAACAGTTTCTATTGGTACAAGGGATTGCTGGGTCACAGCAATGCAACGATACAATGGCATATTCCAGATACTGCCCAGCCTGGAATCTACAGAATAAGATACTTCGGACACAATCGGAAGCAAGACTTTCTCAAGCCAGCGGTCACACTTCCATTTGAAAGCACTTCCTCTGCCTTTGAAGTAGTAACTACTTAATGACAAATTGATAATTCATTTAAAGAGCAGCTATACTCTATAATTTATAAAAATGATTTCATATGAATGTAAATGATGACGGTGACCTCTATGATTGTCCCTGTTTGGGGACAGATAGTTGACTGCAAATGGGACAGAAAGGTGTGTGTGTGTGTGTGTGTGTGTGTGTCCCATTCATCTGGCACTAGCAGCTTTACACCTGGTGCTTCTAGAACCTAATGCATGAGTTCCCTCCAGGCCTTGCTGTTGTTTGAAGGAACATTTCCCCTCAATATGAAGCCTCTGAAAAGTGAGTGAGAGTGGTTGAAGGTGTGTGAACAATGGTAAAACTATTTATTTATAGAGTTATTGAATGTTAGTGCTGGGAAAGTTTAGAGATTGTGTACTTCGCTTCTTTATTTTGCCGATGGGAGCAATGAAGTTTCATGGATTTAAGATTAATGAAGGCTACGGGACCTTCCCCTGCTGCATCACTTAAAAATATATTATATACACATTGACCATTAACGTATCAGCCCAATTAGAGAAAATGACTGTGGAAATTAATATGCCAGCTTCTCTGTATTGAGAAGCAACCACCGTGGAGGCTACGTGCGTGATCCAGAGCCGTTCACGCTGGTAAATTACTGCTGACATTGCCTTCGGAGGCCAATTACAAGAAAGTCAGACTTTTAATATTTTGATCAAGTCTTGTGTTTCCCTAAGTGCCCTTAACCCTCCGAATTGTGTTTCCTATTCCCAAGACTGGTTCTGAGTGATTTTGACTATTTTCAATGATTGCATTCACTCCCAAAACACAAGCTTTGCCATTAGTGTAGATATTAAAATGAAATGTTACTGGATTGGAAGGGGATCCTCAAAGAGCAAACTCTAAATTCACTTATCTGTTCTTTTATCGGTCACTTACTTGTGGACTCGTTCAATCACAGAATATTTATCCAGACCTGTGTACCCAGCATCGTGCTAGCACCTGGCCTTGATAATTACCGTGATCATATTTGGGATGAACGTGTAAGAATCAAAAGGGGACTATTCTGAAGGAGAAAATTCAGTATATAAATTCAGTATACTCAGTTCAGTATATAAACTCTAGAAGGCATTTAAAAGGCAGTAATCTTCAAGTTCTAGCTCACATATATAATCTGTGTCGGGTGCTCCCATATGGGGGGAAAGAGGCTCCAGATACTTTGGAAAAAGTTGTTTTCATAGTTATTTGGGGGCCTTATGACCTACCCTGCCCAATGTCTGGAAGAATGAGATACGGCAGTCGAACATTGATTGCCCAGAAGTACCGATTCCATTTAAAATGATCCAAGTTAATGAGGAGCTAGCTCCTAGGCTACCAAGTAAATTTCCAAAAACCAAGTCATGCTTTTCTTGTATGTATATAAAAGCATTAGCATTTGAGGGAAAAAAAATCAACCTTTATTTCAAAAACAAACTTGAAGTCTTGAAAACGGTAATGATACTGAGCACAACAATACCAGCACTCATTTATGTGTGACTGAACATGCTTTATCACATTGGAACGGACCTGGAACACTTTTTGATGGACCAGGGTTCTGGTTCTGGGGCGTTAACTGCTGGAGAATTAGCTAAGCAGGATTCCAAAGAGTAGTGATCATTTTTCCTAAGGACACAGTGTTTAGTCTAACAATTCAGAGGCTTCAGAAGAGGAGAGAATTCTGAAAGTAGTTGGCCTTAAATTCTATTAGAACTGATGATAAGACTTTAAAAAGTATTTTGCATGATTCAAAAGAGTTTTTGAATTATTTTTCACTACCTCCATGCCCCCCACTGATGTTCTTCAGTGGGCCTGTGATTCCCTGTTGTTTACTTGCAACTGTGCCAAGCCAGACAAAGCATTGCCTTGGTGCTATCCTTCTGCACCAGCTCTCTACCCACCGGTACTCCTGGCCCCAAATCACCCACAGAAGCATGTGTGCCCCCTCGCTGCTATCTCTTCCAACCCATGCAGTTGCATATCTGCAGTTTGTATGACAATAAGGCCAGATCCTGCATGATAGAAACCATAGCTAGCCACTCATGCTTTAAGGAACACCAGAGGGAGGCAGATCTGACCTGTTAATATACAAACCTAGATCCAAGCTGTGTTTGGGGCTGCTGCTGGGAGTGGCTCATTGGAGCCAAACCATGTGGAGAAAGCTACTGAAATTGCAGGAGGATATGGGGGCAAGGAGTTTGGTTGGTGGGAGGACACTTCTGCAGAAGGTCTTGTGTTTCATGTCAAAGTGTCTGGTGTTCTGTTTGTTGTCCTCTGTCCACTCTGGTTTTAAGGATGCTGTGACTTCGTCAGAAAGTACTGAACGATCCCTCTGTATTTTTTCAATGAGTATTATGTAAAATTGCTAATACAAAATATAATATTTAATAAATTAGTGAGTACAATCGGGAATGGATGTTCTACTGAGAAGTGATATGGATGAATGAATGCTTGTTTTGCTTTTGAAGAGATGGAATGAATGATACTGGATTACATGTAGGTCAGGCTGAAAAGTGATATGAATGGCATCTGTAAGTGGCCACCCGAACACAAGGGATCCACTTCATCAGGTCCTTCTTGCCCTCTGAAGATTTATTCCTGCAAAAATACATATGTTTGAACATTTTTTATTAATAGGGTAACTGAGAGTTTCCGAGGCAGGTAATAATTCATAAAATTATTTCATGAGCCAGGTCTGATTATAGATGCCAAGAATGAATGTGCTTGTGAGTATCCTTCTCTGATTTACCCTCTCATGCTTCTCCTCCAGTGTAGGCAAACACACTGTCCTCTTCTAATGTGAGCACATGGATTTCATCTTTAGCCAAAAGATTTCATCATTAGATGACCCTCTCATGTCTTTAATTCTTCAAATAATGATTTTTGTCTCCTGGGTATCCCTATCACACATGCTGGTTTGCACTGGCTTGTGGAATATCATGTCTTATATGATGCCACAGAGGAAAGTTTGCGTGTTCCTTACATGACTAGTTGGAATGTGTTCAGCTGCAAGTAACAAAATATTCCTGATAAGCAGGGGTCCAAACACTAGAGACATTGACAGTCGCACATAGCCATTAGTCTTAAGGTGACCAAGTCTGGTTTCCTACAACCATTCCACGACGTCACTGGCTTTTTTTCTTAACGTACTAACTTTAATTCTCAAGCTTGTTGCCTCAGTCTAGAGAGAGCCGCCTCATGTCTTCCAGCAGCAAGAAGGAAGAGGAGAGTTCCCAGAATCCCTTTTTTGGAAGGTAAAAGATATGTAGTAGGATCCCAAGTAGAATTTCCCCTTGCATCATGTCTACAGTTGGGTCACATAGCTTCAAGGGAATCTGAGAAAGAGAATATTTGGCATTTTCTGCCCCTAGAGGGGGAGGAAAGTTCTGATCAGCAAGGAAAAAGAGATGGTGCAGGTAGCTGCTCTGTGAGCGTGTCAGCAGACTCTTTGTGAGCAGCCCTCCCAGTTACCATGATGGCAAGCAACATGAAATGCATATCCTACTTAATAGCTTTTTGAAATAATTAGCACTTTTTCCATCTTACCAAATCTGTTTTAGGAAAGAACACATCTTGGAACCTTGATGGCGACAGGGCTTGCTCTCTACACTGCAAAACCTATGCATTCATTCAGCAAATTTATATGCAGCACCTATATTTTCTCTGGGCATTGTGCTACCCCCTAAGGGCACAGTCATGATCAAGACAGAGCAAGTTCTTGCCATCAAGGAACTTAGAGTTTTACTAGGAGAAGCAGACAGGTACACAGGTGATTCTGGACAGAGTGACCCATACTGCTGCCAGGCGGTTAGATATGGCACCTTATATGGTCTTGGGGATATTACAGGAGGTTTCCTGGAGAAAATAACATCTAAGCTGAGACCCAAAGGATATTAAGTAGAAGAAAGGTAATGGTGGGGCAGCCCTGGTGGCCCAGTTGTTTAGTGCTGCCTTCAGCATAGGACGTGACCCTGGAGACCAGGGATCGAGTCCCACGTCGGGCTCCCTGCATGGAGCCTGCTTCTCCCTGTGCCTGTGTCTCTGCCTCTCTCTTGACTCTCATGAATAAATAAATAAAATCTTTTTTTTAAAAAAGAAAGATAATGGTGTGTGTGTGTGTGTGTGTGTGTGTGTGTGTGTGTGTTTACATGCATTGGTGCAGGATGACTACCTTTTTCAGGTAAGGGGAATATCAAATAGTTTACCAAGGCTGTAGTTATAGTACAGGGAGGTATGGTCAGAGATGTAGCACTGAGCTTCATCTTCATAAATAGCAATTTGGTGTTATAGTCATGGTAGCATTTTCCCCCTTAAGAACCTTCAATTATGGCATGAATGGGCTTGAATGTATTTTCCCTTTGCTAAACTAATAAGACACATATTTTATAACTAAGGAAATGGATTTTGGTTCCCAGTCTCCAGTGACATTGGATATCACCATTCTGTCTTCATAGGCTGTAACCGTTTCTTGGAATTGGATTTATTGATACTTCTTTTGCTTCTGTCCATCTCATGTTTCCAATTCTTGATTTTTCTTTCACCTTTTTTATGCCTACTAAGTGGGTGAGTATAGCCAATAAAGACCAGTCTCTCCCTTTAGATGGAGTTCAGTGTTCCAGCCTACATCTTGTAAGTGCTTATTAATAATACTAAAAAACTGACCCAGCCACATAAACTTCAGAATACTTTGGTGTACATAATTTCAAGTTATCAGAGACCAAGCCCGTATTGATTTTTTTTCTGGCTGTGTTTTAGGATAATGAGCAATCCAGAAACCTGGGATATTGGCTTAACACTAGCAGAAGAAAACAAACCTACCACCCCACTCTCTGGATCTCCACTCCCAGGAAAGATTGACATGGATACATTCCCTGTTCTATTGGAGCATCCTTATTCAATACAAGAGCAGGGTAAGCTAAATGAACATAAGAACTTAACCTCCCAGCCATTATAACTTTGGAAAAAAGTCCAACATGGGCCCACACACTCCTAAGTGGAATTTCAATAAACTAGCATGTATGATTTTATAAAGTTGGTGCCACCACAGTGAGGAGAGTAAGTACTTTGAATGTGTTTCTGAAACTATGGATGGTGTTGTGCTGACCCATTGCCACTCTTTCACAGTTTCTCTTAGCCTCAAGTCCACAGATACAAAATGTCTTAGGGGACAAAGGGGTAGCTTTTAACCATGGGACATACGTGAGAAGTTGTATAATGTGAAAGAAAGAACCTAGGTTTTGAAGTCTGGTCAACTTGGATTGGATTATATCTGTGACCTTGGGAGAGTCACTGAACATCCCTGGTTTATAAAATGGTGTAACAATAATGCCCTTCTATGGTTGATATGGGGTTGTAGAATTTAATGGTTAAGAGAGAAAGCTCACTGGAAACTGATTGGAAGCAAATTCTGGAGACAAGTTGGTTCAAATCTCAGTAATGTACTCAGTTTCTTAAAGTCCCAGTTTCTTCATGTAATGCATCTTAATTTCTTAATGTATCGATGAGAACAATACAAGCATAATTAAATTTTTAGTTTCTGAGATTAGAATAAGGTAGAGTTGTTGGCAGAGTATCTGATGTATGGAATATGCTTAATTTATTTATTTAGCTGTTAATTAACTTAGCTGTCACTGAGTATTATGTAAGATGACGCATATAAATATCTGGAAAAGGGTAGGAAATAAAAAAATTATCCATTGTGAACTAAATCCATCATTTGCCCTGAAGATACTATACTTTTCCTGATCTTTTGGTATCTCTTATGTTAGTGTAGGAAGAGTTGGGATGCATGGCAAGTGAGGTTCTGAGGGTTGTCTAGACTGAGAGACAATGGAAGTCCGAACCAGAACCAGAAGCAGCTTCAGGAATGGATCACAACTCTTTCAATGTATGAAACTCTATGGTTAAAATGGTCATGCCTTACTCATTAACAGGATGGGGAGGGGGAGAAAGACAGTTTAAAAAAAATTAAAACCCTAAAACGTCACTTGGGTGATGTTAAGTTGTTGTTAAGTTACAACAAGAACTGGAGTAAAAGAAAGAGGATTGCAGAAGGGTAAAGGCAAAGCTAGGTTTGGACATCTGAGACTTGACAAAGTGTCCAGGCAGCAAAGTCCAGTGCACAGTGAGATATGGGGAGCTCAACTTTTGCAGAGAAAGTAGGGCAAAACAGATATTAGAAGCATCTGTTTCAACCCAATAGCAGGAATCAAGGAAGTTGATGACTTGCAAGAAGGAGAACAAAGAGGTGGAAAGAGCCTGGATGGCAGTCTTGTGGGCAACACATATTTTTCAGTAAAGGAGAGGAGAAGGAGGACCAGAAAATACTATCACTAAGAAGAACAATTAGGAGAATTCAGAGAATAGGAAGAGAGAACTCTAAGAAGGTCAGTTTATAAAGGTTGTAGAAGTATTAAAATGGTTAAAGGATTGAGGTAAACCTTTAATACTTAAGAGTGAGCAATTTCTGAAGGATGTAGAAGGCATATGCAAGAGAAAGTGTGGTTCCCTGCGGGGTTGGTGGGATGTGGCAGAGGGAGTTAGTGGCTATTCCTTATCTACTCTCCCCTCCCTAGTGAGAGTTTCCCCCTGGGGCTCCATTTCTCAGCCTGAGTGTACCCCAGCACTGGATCTGGCAGCTGGAATAACCATCTGACTAATTAAGTTCTCTTCAGGGGGATGAGATACATGATACATTCTATTTTCCCACCTGTGCCGTCAGAACGGAGAGCCATACACTCCCCTGTCCAGCTCCCTTCCTAGTAGCTGGGTAACAGACATGGCCCCCAGAGCCGGAACAGCCATCTCGAGCCCAGAGATGGAAGCTCCATGTCAAGGATGGCCATCCTATAAAAGGTGCCTGGGTCCTTGCCAGTCCCTGATAGTCAAATCATTCCTTGACTGCTTCATTTCAGATGATTAAGTGAGGGGGAAATAAAACACCCATCTCACCTTTTGCTATTCACGGTCATTGTTAGAACAGCAGAAGCCTTTATTCTAACTACTATACTGATTGTAGTCTCTACAAACAAAAGCTGTGGTTGAGACACTTTCTTCTACTGTGTCTAGGACAAATATCAACATATTCATGTAAAATCAGAGAGCAGATCTTTACTAACTGACCTGGGGAAAGTAGTATGGTGACCTCCTTCTATTTTTTGACTCTCTGGCTATTATGGGATGAATCATGTCCCCTAAAACAGTGTGTTGAAGTCCTAACCCCTAGTATGTCAAATGGGACCTTATTTGGAGACGAGGTCATTCACTGCAAATGTAATTAGCTAAGGTGAGGTCATAGTAGAATAGAGTAGGTCTCTAACCCAATATGACTTGTATCTTTATTTAAAAAATGCTGTGTAAAGAGATGCACACAAGGATAACGCAATGTGAGCAGGAAAGCAGAGACCTACGAG